TTTCTGTAAAATGCTGGATGTTCAGGTTATTAAATATGAGCCATTGAGTTTGTAGCACTTGCTTTGTGGCAGTTTGAACTAGCCTTGCAACTTCAATAACATTGTAATGTTTTCTGCATGTTATGTTTGTTGCTGTGGAGCTGAACGATTTTCAACTTCCCAAACAATCACGAGTGAAGCGTCTCTAATGAGCTGAGAATTCATTGAAAATGGTTTTGGATTTCATATCTTTTTATAAATATGTCACTAAGATACATTTTAATTACCCATATACCTGTTGCTCAGAGGTTGCCAGGGCATTCCTATGTGGTTGCTAGGATGTTCTGGGTTGCATTGCGGCTGCTAAGGGATTGTTAGTGGTTGCTATGGTGGTGTTCTAGGATCTGCTAGTGTCTTATTTTATGCACATTGCTGTGCAGTTGGTGGGTGGTTGTCAGGGCAGTGCTTTATGGTTGCTAAGGTGGTCTGTTCTTTGCTATGTAGCTGGTGAGGCATTGTAGGCGGTTGCCAGGGTGTCGTTCTGTGGTTTCCAGGGTGACTGCGTGTTTTTTCATGCATTGCTAAACGATCGTTAAGATATTATCTAATGTAGCTGCTAAGGTGTTGTGCGTGGTTGCTATGGTTGTATGTTGTATGATTTATTGGTGTGTAGTGAGTGGCTTTTAGTATGATACTGCCAAGATAGTGTTTGTTAGATAGTGTATAGCTGGTTGCCAGGGCATTTCTATGTGGTTGCAAGTCTATTCTCAGGAGGTTTTTTGTGCATTTCTATGGGTTACTGGGGTGTTGCTATGCGGTTGCTAAAGTATTCTGAGTGATTTATCATAGAATGCTATGCAGTTGGTAAAGTTTTTGGTGTGGTTTTTAGTTCATTGCTGAGTAGTTGCTAAGGCATTGTATGTGATTGTAAGTGTATTCTCAGTAGTTTTAGCGCATTTCTACGGTATTGCTATCCGGTTACTAACTAGGTGTCACTATGCAGTTGGGCTGGGTAAAAAAAAAATCGATTTTTCTTTATTTTAATGTACTATTCTCGATTTTTTGAGCGATATCGATTCTTAAAGGTACACTATGTAGGAATTCCGTTTTTGTCAAACAGCGACCCCTAGAGTTGCTGTGGAGTACTTGTACTGTCGTAAATAACGAGTGGAAATAAGGTGTGGCCCCTTTAAGAGCTGCGCGCGGCTGGTTATTTTTGTCTGATGCTCATTCTTATCCTATTTTAAGTGAAAGCCTGACGAGTGAGACTCTTGTCCGGTTTTCTCACGCGGTCAGTTTCTCGTTTTCTTTTCCTTGATTCTTCCGAGCCTGTGGTCACGTGACGGTCGTAAAGCGATACGTTCTCCAGGCATTCTCCAGGTCACATGACCTGGCCAAAGACGGTCCGTCTTCTCCAAACTTACGCTCACATATCGCGTCTTTTGCGCGCTCAAGTTCGTTATTTCAAATGTAGGCGCGCGGTATGCGCGCTCATAATGGAAGCGACGCGGTCGCAATGCGACGCGCTCGTTTTTTCCATGCGCGTCCGCGCCGCATCGAGATAGAAACATCTCAACTTTTCAGAATGCCGCAAGCGCACCATAAGCACACAGTAGGTCACGTGCATACCTGTCAAGTTTTGGATTTGAAAATAAGGGAAATTTTCCGGCGCCCACCGCGTGCAGTCCCACCACCCCAACCAAGCTCCAGTATCCCTTACATTTTAAGACAGGTGTTATAGCCTAAATGAAAACACACACACACACACACACACACACACACACATATATATATATATATATATATATATATATATATATATATGTATGTATGTATGTATGTATGTATGTATGTATGGTATATATAGGCTATATATTAAGAGCATTAATTTAAAGGCTTATTTGCATATTTTCTGTTCATTTAACATTGCTTGTCTTTACATTTAGCCTACATTTTATTTTCATTCCACACATTATTTTCATTTCATATTGCTTTTCTTTTACAGTTTTTTTTTTCATTTGCATTTTTTTTTCATTTCACATAACTTTTCTTTACTCTTTTAGTGAGTTATTGAACAAATTTGTTGCATTTTTTACTTTGCATTAACTGTTTTAGAAGGAGTGTATTTGTGGGCTGGGTCAGAGTGGTTAATTTTACATGAGAGTAGAGCAAACAGTTCTGTTGTCTAACGTTCTTTCGTACCATGCTAAAACGCCCTTTCTCGTGCTGATCGACATACATCATTCCTTCCCCGTGTGAGATGCTAAAGTCGCAGTTACAAAACTTACAAAACGCGTGACTGTCCCCCACCCTGCTCGTCTTCAGAAAAGTAAATTTGCTATCCCATTGATCGCGGTATTTAGTACATGAGGGTTTTGGTTTTTTGGCAGGAGTGCCTAAGCTTGCTCTGTCATAGCGTCCATCATCCGACTCTGTTTTTGTTTGTTTTTTGTTTCCCCCGCGTTGTCACCACTGATCTATATATAGATCAGTGGTTGTCACTCATCTGACCTCACACACTAACCTCGCGACAATTGCCACCTACAGTACCTGTAGTTATCGCGAGGCTAGTGACAGAGCTCAGATTGGGAATGTTTTTTTTTTTACTCCGCCGGGGTATTATTATTATTTTTCAATAACGCAGGTTAAAATACGGGAGATTTACGGGAAAATCCTAATACGGGAGGACGGCGGGAAAGAAGGGTAAAATACGGGACTTTCCCGGCCAAAACGGGATACTTGACAGGTATGGTCACGTGACAAGAACCAACCGGATCGCAACCGCCCTAGCACTTTGGAAAAAGGAGAATGCGGCGCGCCCAGCGTTTTCTACGCGTTTTAGGCGCTATATGTGAATCCGGCCTAAACTTAGGCGGTATTTCAAGAGGGCAGCCCCCCTCGGAGCATTGGTAGTGTGAAGCGCTGTATATTGGCCAAAAGTTACACGGTGTGCCTTTAAATCACATAATGGATCTCTGTTTCAGTTGATAAATGAACAGGACATTGTAGCGCCTCCCGGCATACAATAAATAACAATATGATATGAAACAAAGTCTCAGATTTCACATTCTGTACATTTTATTACGAAATTAAAAAAACAAATACTGTTTTGGCGCTCTTTAATCTGGCGCGAAAGCACGGTGTTTACCGCATCACAGAGAAAAGGCAAGCACGCGTGAGTGACAGGATCATCTCTTTCTTTACTAGTTACACAAATGAACATCAGAGGTATGTTGAAAGATACAGTAAAACCTACCGAATTCCGTTTAATGTCTCATGTAATCGCTCAATCAGTTTCAATAAAACAGATTAACAATAGCCTATATTATTTACCTCAGAAAGTCATTCAGCGACCAAAAACTCGTTAGTCTAGAAAAAGCAACTTGCTAAATATAAACCATATTACATATTCATTCTTGTTTTTTGTTTTTTACTGTTCTTCTGTATAAGTAAGTGTTTGAATAAATTGGAAACATTTTTTGACAGACACCATATTGCAAAAACCGAATTAGAGTAACAAGATAAAGTTAGTATGCTATTATAATAACTTTATTATTATAGCATAGTTTGCAGCATTAGTTGAGAGTTTTTCCTTGAGAAAATTTGCCATATATAATGTAATCGATATCGAAACGATGGCACACATTTGTGTCAAAACCCTATGCAGTTGCCAAGGTGTTCTTATGCATTGCTATTCAGTTACTATTTTCATTGTGCTTTTAAGTTAATTGCTGAGCACTTGTAGGTGGTTTTCAGGGTGTTCAGAGTTGATTTTAGTGCATTGCTATATGGTTACTAGGGTGTTTCTATGCAGTTGCCAATGTGTTCTGAATCCTGAGTGTTTTTTCATGGATTGTTATGCGGTTGCTAAGGCTTTCTCTGTGGTTTTCAGTGCAATGCTAAGCAGTTGCTAAGCCATTGTAGGTGGTTGCCTGGGCGTTACTATGTGGTTGCAAATGTGTTCTGAGTAGTTTGTAGTGTTTTTCTATCAATTTCTAAGATGTTTTGACTGTTATTAGCACAGTATTATGCATTTGCTAGAGTGTTCTGGGTGGTTGCATACTGACAAATAGCCCAACCTCAAGTAGCCTATTCATAATATTCTGGTCTGTAGATGGCTCAAGTCCCTCTAAGGACCTTGTTTATCATCTGCTGTACAAAAACTGTCCAATAACTTAGAAAAGTAATATCACACCTCTTCTCAAAAAGACGACTCAGTGCATGATGCGTTACATGACAAAGTTTAATATTTAGCAAACACTCTTCATTTTTATGTGGCACAAAAACCCAAGAGAATTGGGTTAACAAACTTTAAAAAAAAAAAAATAATAAAATAATGACCACTTTTAAACTGACATGCTCATAATTTTGTTTTCTTTTCAACGTGAACATTTTTATCTCTGTCAATAGTATCACTATTCAGCAGACAGACACAATAGCAGGAACTCTCAAAGTCTCAAACTGATGACACAGCAGAGCCGCAGAGTGAACGCTGCTGTTTTTAACTATATTGAATGTCTGCTTTCCAATTTCAATCTACTGCAGTCTAATAGAACGTTACTTTTTAAATTACATTTTTATTCTTTTTTCAACAAGTGCACTTAAATAAAAGTCTAAAAAGACTCTTAAAGTGAAATAGAATAAGAGGTATAAAAGTTTTTGATTGTTCAAATAATATTTTATCAATCCAGTAGGTCAAATGGTTGAGCAATGCGCTAAGGACTCCAAGGTCACGGGTTCAAATCCCACAGAAAACAGCAACTGATAAAATATTTTAGATAAACGTGCTGCTAAATGCACCAATGTTGCCGTTTAAATATCTTGTTTGCTCACAGGTTGCTCACTTTAAATAACAAGGCGAACTTAACTCTAACCCTAGCTCTGCTGGCACTAAATGTCTATGTGACCCTGTGAGATAAAGAAAAATGTGCTAATGCTCAATGTACCGTTTTCAAATTCTGCTGAACCATGCAATCTTGTCAGCTGACAAACATGGACCTCCCAAACCAACATGGAAGCGATGCAGTGGAGGAAATCCGGTGATTTTCCTGTCAGGAAAAGATGTTTTTCTCACCCTTACTCTAGCTTGAAGCCGCTATGTGGTCATATCAAACCTCTCTCACTCTGTGTCAAGCTGCTCAACATGCAAATCCTTGAAAGCACATGAGCAAAAAGGTCTGAAGAGGTTTTTCTGGAGATGTTTGAAGTCGAGATATCCAGTTGTGTCCTGTGACTGGAGATTGTGGCCGGTCTCGGGAGAGGCTTTTCTGTTTGTGTTACATGTTTATCTGACAACTTTTCAGGAGTTTTTCTTGTTTTGAGGAAGCAGACATGTCTTATCTTTTCATTTTGGGACTCACGGTACTGTGGACTATACAGATTCAAGTAAGTTGCTTTTTTTTTTAATTGATCAGTGTACTGGTACTGAACCATTATACTTTTGTAAGGGTTGGTATAATTTATAATACTTTTTTAGACATGCACAGTTCTGTGCTGATACTGTGGTATTCTTTGAAATAATAAACGCCTTGTAAAAAGTGGCAATACCATGGTACGTTGTTGATGCCAGATGATAATACTATGGTAGTTTGATTAGATAGTATGATAGACCCCGAAACTATCTATCATACTATCTATAATAGTATAAATCAAAGTACCATAGTATTATCGTAAGGTGTTGAAAAGTGAAGTCTACATCTTTAAGTAACTATTTAAATGATTTGCTAAAATCTTTACCATGGTAATACCATGGTATTCTTTGAATGACTATGTAAATACTACTACACTATATGAATATGCACTTTTAAATAGTACTATGGTATTTTTGTTTTTGGATCATGGTAGTACCAAGTATTATAGTATTTACATGGTACTCCACGCCACGGCACTTCCTTGAATATGATGGTACATCCACTAAAAAAGTTATATTGTCATGGTACTAGGTTCACTTTTATTTATTTTTTATTTTTATTTTTTACTGATCGCTGTATCATGGTACTGACCCATTAATTTTGTAAGGGTGGTATAATTGCATTTATAATACTTTTTTGGACATGTACTACTATGGTAATACCATAGTATTTTTTGAAATACTATGTAAATGGCTTGCAAAAGGTGGGGGTACCATGGTACAGTACATTGCATATCAGATGATAATACCATGGTACTTTGATTTATACTTTGTTATACTCATACTATGTTATAATGTTTTTGGAAAAATCCCATGGTATTTGTCGAAAGGAAAATGATAGTGCCATGGTAATTTTAGTACAAGTATAACAAGGTATTCCCATGGTCCATGTTATGTATGTAAATGGTATGTGAATATGGATATGGTACCATAATAATAAATATTTGGACCTGAACCATGGCATTTTTATATACTATGGTATATGAATATGCTAAACACTTGAACTCAACATACCCAGATGGCAGATAGCATCCAGATGTGGGCCACTTCAGGCACTGATGTTGGCCGCCTTCAGGCTCGGACAAAATGAATGTGAGTCTGAAGTGGCTCACATGTAAAATAGGAAATATGGCCCAACTATCCTAAGCCACATGTGGGCCTTTTTAGGCAAAGCACCACTGCTTATGGAAAACTGGATAGGACCCTAAAATGGCCCATGTGGTAAATAGTGAATATTTCCCAAATATCACAAAACAAATGTGGGCTACCTTTTGAAAAAATGTGGCACAGTCGGAAAAAGTCTAATCTGGGTGTAAACCAAAAGTGGCCAACATACATTGTAGAAAATGTGTCCCAATTATATAAAAAAATATATATAATATATATATCTGGGCCAGTTTTGACAAAGACATTGGACAGTATTCACTGGCGAATATACAAAAGTAAACATGTATTATTAAAACATTTAAAAAATCTTAAGTAATATTTTTCAAATTCTGAGATGTAACCCACATTAGGGGCAGGTTTGGTTTATTTACTTCATTCTTAGCTGACATGTAGCTATGCTGTGACTTGCTTGTGGCCCAGATCTGGCAAACAGGAGCGGAACGACAAAGTACCATCATTCCACACGGTATGTGGGCCGGATCTGGGCCATAGCAGTTTTTGCTATATGGCGGGTTTCAATGTTTCGCACTGTTATCATCACTAAAACATGGTACTTTGTACCACACTGTGAGGATTTGCATTGAAAGATTTTAATTTCTTAAGGTTTTTTTGTATTTATTTTTTACTGTTTGTGTGATTTGTGTACCGGCCTGGCATTCTTATAAATTTTTCGAGTTTGAGTCTCATTTTGGTTTCTGTCATTCTAGGCCGCCTCTAATCGCTGCGATTCACCCGTTACAATCCTGAACAAAACTCCCTGCACATCCTGCGCTGCCGCCGCCGCCGCCGTCTGCCCAAGAGGGTTCAGGAAGATCACCAAGAGCCCCGAATTCTGCAAGTGTGTGATTATCCAGCCTTTTCCTTTCCGTTCGCTCAGTATGTTTATGTCTAATGTGTTATTGTCCTGTTTCAGTTATGTGGTGGAAATCGGGGATCGTCAGGTAGAGCAGCAAGGGTGCACTCATACCTGTCAGGGGGTTTCGACAGTCCAACAGTGCTGTCCGGGCTTCTGGGGGCCCCTGTGCTTGCGTGAGTTACAATGAGCCCAAAAAAACACTTAAGACACACAAAATTCATGAATGTCATTGCTTTATATGAAATATACAAGTATATGTAATTTATGCCGTATATAAGTCCTTACATTTTTTAGGGCCACCATATATCAGTTTCTCCTGAACTATAATAGTTAAGTACAGTGATATCACTTAATGGTTAAATGTCTGAGCTGGTAACACAAAAAACTGCTGGTTCAAAGTTACTGTAAGTTGCTTTGGGTATAAGAAAATATCTACAATGTGATGAATTTCTAACCAGTCCTGTGTGTTTCTCCAGCTTGCCCTAGCTGGTCAGAAAAGACGTGTAATGGTTATGGTACATGTGATTCTGGAAAATTAGGAAATGGCACCTGTGTTTGTGATGTAAGTGCATCTGAATTACGTTCTTTTACTTTGATTTTAATGTAAAAAAAATTTTTTTATGTTAAAATAGATTTTTTTGTTGTTGATTTATTTACTTATTTCCATTTTATTTAAATAAGTCTTGCTAGGGTAAGTAATAACATAAACGTAATAATAATAATATAAATTTATAGAAAATTAGAGTTACCTTTTTAATTCGCAACAAAGTTATGTTATATGAATTGTTATATTAATTCAACAGTTTCTTTGTTGGTATATTTATTTATTTACTTTAATAAACTGTGTTATGTTGCTAGTTCAATTAATACAATTAATAAATAATAATAATATAACAATAAACATAACAATATAATAATAATTTATAGTAAATTACTTTTTTTAAATCTGAGTTATGTTCATATATTTAAATTGTATGTTTACTTTAGCTTAAAATTCGGTTGAAATATATAAATAAATAAAAAAACAAACACTTTATTAGTAGAGGACAAAAGTGATATCCAGCCTAGAAAAAATTACATCTTCACCCGTATTAGTAATATGATTTATATATATATATATACACTCACCTAAAGGATTATTAGGAACACCTGTTCAATTTCTCATTAATGCAATTATCTAATCAACCAATCACATGGCAGTTGCTTCAATGCATTTAGGGGTGTGGTCCTTTTCAAGACAATCTCCTGAACTCCAAACTGAATGTCAGAATGGGAAAGAAAGGTGATTTAAGCAATTTTGAGCGAGGCATGGTTGTTGGTGCCAGACGGGCCGGTCTGAGTATTTCACAATCTGCTCAGTTACTGGGATTTTCACGCACAACCATTTCTAGGGTTTACAAAGAATGGTGTGAAAAGGGAAAAACATCCAGTATGCGGCAGTCCTGTGGGTGAATGTTGATGCTAGAGGTCTGAGGAGAATGGGCCGACTGATTCAAGCTGATAGAAGAGCAACTTTGACTGAAATAACCACTCGTTACAACCGCGGTATGCAGCAAAGCATTTGTGAAGCCACAACACGCACAACCTTGAGGCGGATGGGCTACAACAACAGAAGACCCCACCGGGTACCACTCATCTCCACTACAAATAGGAAAAAGAGGCTACAATTTGCAAGAGCTCACCAAAATTGGACAGTTGAAGACTGGAAAAATGTTGCCTGGTCTGATGAGTCTCGATTTCTGTTGAGACATTCAGATGGTAGAGTCAGAATTTGGCGTAAACAGAATGAGAACATGGATCCATCATGCCTTGTTACCACTGTGCAGGCTGGTGGTGGTGGTGTAATGGTGTGGGGGATGTTTTCTTGGCACACTTTAGGCCCCTTAGTGCCAATTGGGCATCGTTTAAATGCCACGGCCTACCTGAGCATTGTTTCTGACCATGTCCATCCCTTTATGGCCACCATGTACCCATCCTCTGATGGCTACTTCCAGCAGGATAATGAACCATGTCACAAAGCTCGAATCATTTCAAATTGGTTTCTTGAACATGACAATGAGTTCACTGTACTAAAATGGCCCCCACAGTCACCAGATCTCAACCCAATAGAGCATCTTTGGGATGTGGTGGAACGGGAGCTTCGTGCCCTGGATGTGCATCCCACAAATCTCCATCAACTGCAAGATGCTATCCTATCAATATGGGCCAACATTTCTAAAGAATGCTTTCAGCACCTTGTTGAATCAATGCCACATAGAATTAAGGCAGTTTTGAAGGCGAAAGTGTTCCTAATAATCCTTTAGGTGAGTGTATATAAAAATGATTTCCATTACATGAGAGTAGATGTTAAAACTTCATGCTGATTTGCACTCAGCTTTCGCCAAGATAAGCACCAACTAAGAAGTAGCTTTACAGTAACCTATGCGTCTCCATCCATTTACGCTTCCTTCCATATGGTGATGTGAATATCCTTTTGTCTGGTGTTATTGGCTGAAGTATATTTCCTGGCACGTCAGCACACACAACGGCTGCAATGCTGGCTCCGGGGATCAACCACAGTGCGGTCTTCCCAGCGGATCAGCATGACAACCGTCTGGATTGAGCTGAGTAGGGTACATCTCTGGGGTCTTCAAGTGGGCACCTTCCGTCCTCAGTGTTTCGTCGACTAGCCCACGACACCTCAAGAGGGCTCGGCAGTGATTCTGGCGTCCCAGAGTCTCCCCCCTCCGTCCCCCACTCAACTCAGCCCAGCTTACTTACCTGTACATCAGCATTTCTTTCTTTCTATTGTGCTTGAGATCCCTCCTGCTGCTGAGGTTGCTCCTTCCTCATAGTTCAGTGGCATAAACCCTTGATGTGACCTAACCACAAGCTCACCGCAACCATACGCGCCAACCCGTTTGACTAAGGCTGTCGAAGCCCCACTGTCGTCGTTAATGCAGGTTCAGTGGCAACGGTTCCGTATGGCATACTACCTACCGCAAAACACAACATTATCTGTCCAACACAAATCCTCATTCATGCAAAATACAGTACACGGGATTGTAACAACTATGATAACTATGCAAACTATACAAATAATCCAACAGACTCTTCAATTTTTCAAGAATTCTTCTAAACCGTAGCGTGGCGGCCTGTACACAGCCAGCCAGAATCTTTCCGTCTCAACCACAGCCAGTTGCTGCTCCTCTTTGCTGCTTCAGATAAGTTCTTCACTGTGCGACGCAACTCTTGGCCACTGAATCCGACGTCTCTGAGGAACCGGGTTGTAGAGTGTGCCACAAAACCCGGACTCTCCATCTTCGCTGTTCTGCTTCAGTGGCCAGATGAGCATACCGCTGTTTCTTCCTCTCATACGCCTCATCTACCGCATCCTCCCATGGCACTGTTAACTCTATCAGGTGAACAAGGTGTGCTGATCCAGACCACAAGACAATATCTGGTCGAAGGTTAGTGGTGGCAATCTCAGGTGGAAAAATAAGCCGTTGATCAACATCTGCCAGCATTTTCCAGTCCCTAGCAGCTTCCAGTTGTCCTGGGCGAGAATTGGTTTTCTTGCACCTTTTCTTTGTGGTTGCTCTCCTGGGCGGAGGAATATTGTCTTCTGTGTGTAATGTTTTGCTTGAACAGGTGGCAACTTATTGGTCATGTTACGCTTGTCTTCCAATGCTAAAGCCAAACATTGCAGTACCTGTTCATGGCGCCAAGTAAACCGTCCTTGGCTAAGAGCCACCTTACATCCTGTCAGAATGTGCCATAATATGGCAGGTGATGAACACAAAGGACAAGAGGGATCCTCTCCTACCCAGAGGTTTAGGTTCTGTGGTGATGGGAGAACATCATATGTTGACCTGGTAAGGAAACTGATCCTACTCTCTTCCATTGACTATAGGTCTTGCCAGCCCATCTTGCGTTGTTCCACTCTCCCATCTCATCCATTCTCCCTGCATGGCCTGGGAAATGGCCTTTATTCACCTCGTCCTCTCCTCCTGCTTTCGCACCTCGTTGACTACCAGCTTCCTCCTTTGAGCTGGGCCTGCCTTGTGCCATTTAGGAGGAGCTAAACTGAGCCCCAAAAAAAAAAACCTCTTCCATGCTGTACTTGCCCCACGATATCACCAATTTGAAGGGCAGCCTTTGCATCTTCCACAGCTTTCTTTGCTGACCACTTTCTTCCAGTTTTTCTCCCTTACACATTTGTCGCGTGACTCTACTAATGTAATTTCCAGTCTGACCTTGGCGCACTTAAACTCTTCGGTTAAAGCGGAGACTGGTAGCTGAGGCAGCGTGGAACTCCCAACCATTTCCTGATATATGAACTTATTAAAGCTTCCAGGTTCTCTACTGTTGTCAAAGAAACCTCGTACACAGTCAGTGGCCACAGCAACCTCGGAAGTAGACCAAACTGAAAGCACCAGAGTTTTAGTTTGCCTGGTAGAGCGTAGCTGTTTATGCTCTTCAACCCTTCCACTGCTTGTCGCCTAACTTCTTCCACTCGAACTGTGTCCTTTAGATCCCCATCGTACCATCTCCCAAGACTCTTCGATGGCTTCTCAGATTGACTTTCCAGGAGTAGTTTGTACTTTTTCCTTCCTTTTTCCACACCAAATCTCTCACTTCCATATGCGTAAATGATGTCCCCAAATTTATCCAGCTTCTTTTCAGCTGTACCAGTTAATCTTCCAATGCTAAGCATAGATCTGTGTTTACCGTGTCCCATGCAGTTTTTCTCACAAGCTATTGGCCATTTAACTCCAGACCTGTGCCCTTTGAGGTTCTTTTCTCTCTTATGCTGGTTAGTCTGACCGGGTTCACAAGTATCGATATGTTCATCACTAACTGTGCAAGTCCTCCTCTCCTCTGTGACAAGGGTGCTGATATCCTGCGAACTGTGGTTTGCTTCCTGTCGCTGGATTTCATTCGACTGACTTGACTGACTTCGTAAGAAGTACTGATCAATGCGAGGCCCTTGTCCCTTCTCCCTCAAGCTTTTCATTTTCCATTGATGAATCTTCAAACCCCTGACCGTTGTTGCCCTGCTCCAGCCACAGACACAAGCCTGGAGTTCAGAAGTCTTTGCTAACTGCAGATCTTGAACTAATCTTTTGTGAAGTACTCCCCATACTCATATCCGTTTCATATTTCATATATTTTTAAAAAAAGATTTTATAAGAATATTGTGTAGTTGTGCTTGGACATGCATTTTTGGCCAGGCTGTCATACAAAGAAGTTATGAACACATGCAAAAACAAAAGAGAACCAACGATATATTAATAACTGATTATGCTGTGGTCAATGTATGCTTTTCCTGTGAGATTTTTGTTTTTCTCAGGCATTATAGTAAAATAAAAACTGTAGCTGTAATTTGCCTTTTTTGCCAAATATTTTTTGTCAAATAAATACCTTAATTACATTTAGTGTTTTGTTCTTCCCTCATATTTATAATATTTAAAAAATATAAAACATTTTCGACATGCTTTGATGGTTCATTCGAACTTAGGGTTGTTAAAAACAAATATCCCCTCCGGACATCACTTTTGGCGACTACTGTGTGTAAGCCTTGTTGGGGCAAAACAAGTAAATGTACACTAAATAACTAAATAAACAAATGTTAGGCTCTTCTATTTCAGTTTTATGTTAATTAAGTAATAACATGTTTTTTTAGCTGAAATGTATTTAAATATGTCTTGTTCAGGGCTATTTGTAACTTATAATAATAATCATCATCATCATCAACAACAACACTTTTACAGGAGGGATATACAGGTTTTGCGTGCCAGAACTGTTTGAATGAGAATGCCTATGGAGACCACTGCCGTTCAGGTCTGTTATTTGTACGACAGTAACTTCTGATGGCATAAGTTAATAATCACCATTTTTGAAGATAAAACGGTCTAACTGTAAAACTATTGTAGAGTGCAGCTGCGTGAATGGAAAGTGTGACTCAGGACCCGAAGGGAATGGCGAATGTTACTGTCAGCCGCCATATGTAGGACCAAAGTGCGATAAAGGTAATTTAAGTGAATTCACCCATTTATCATTGAATATATACAATTACTTCTGTTAAATATCATTATGTTGATTTAGTTAAATCACACTTTTCTTTTGCTCTGCAGTTTCTTCATATTGTCCAAGCTGCCCGGCCTACTCGTATTGTAAGGGAGACGACACAGGCGCCGTGTGCGAATGTCTGAAGGGATACAAAAAGATCGGACAAGCGTGTATAGGTACTTCCCTGTCCCTGATGTTAAGCACCATGCTAAACAGTAAATACATGTAGTGTTTTATGTCATGTTTTGTAAATTTAGGTAAATTTTCCTCTCATTTTAAAAGTACACCATGTAACTTTTTTTGGTTCAAAATTAACAAAATGTAAATAATGTCAATACATCATCAATCCTTCTTCCCAAACTTGTTTTTGTCTTACCCTGATTAACTATGGTGAGCCTATTATAAGTGTTTATATTTTAGAACTGTCGGGATGTTTTTTTTGCGGGAAATGGCGTACATACAGTACGTCACTCGCCCGTGCGTGTCTCATCATATCTGTAAATAGAGAAAAGTTGTTCCGGCTACTTTGATGCGTGTTTGATGTGGGAGTGGCATAGGTTAGTTGTAGGGCTGTCACTTTTGTGAAAAAATCCTGATCGATTTTTGAGACATAAACGTTCATTGAATCGATTGTAAAATCGATTTTCCATGTCTAAAGACGTTTCCATTTTCAGCGCCAAATATAGGCAAATCCACGGACAACTAACAGGCATTAGGACGAACGTAAAGAGTGCGCTTGAGACGCGCACAAGTCAACAATATTTCTGATGATTTATTGGCATTAAGTTTCGTGCACAATGACAAACAGGAGTGCAAGATTCTTGAAAAACAATAAGCAGAGTGGACTGCCATAACATCAATGAAAAACATTACTGCAGGCTTCAACATGGCTGTGTTTACGATTAGAAATGTCAAACAAATTTCGCCTATGTACCGTATTTTCCGCACTATAAGGCGCACTTAAAAGCCTTTAATTTTCTCAAAAAACGACAGTGCGCCTTATAATCCGGAGCGCCTTATATATGGATGGTGAACACACGTTCACCAAGACGGGGAGACAGCGCCGGGCGACTAACGCCACTATCTGCCAATGGATCGTGGATGCCTGGGCTGATATATCAGTCTCAACTGTGATCCGAGCTTTCACGAAGGCAGGAGTAATCTCTTTATTCAGCCGGCTCACATACCCGTTTTTACTTCCTGTTTTCGGCCGAAGTCCACAGTAGTTGATTGTCGAGTTCGCGCGCGCGCGATCAAACCTCCTCCGTGTGTTCAACATCTGATTCGGATGAACTATCCATTTTGAGCTGATATTCTCAGAACACCACACAGCTCCGTCATCGGCTCACAGCTGACAGTCTGAGTCTCCACTGTTGCTTAGTTACCAATGATCGCGCGCGCGCGCACTCGACAATCGCCTACTGTGGACTTCGACCGAAAACAGGAAGAAAATACGGGTATGTGCAGTCAGATTCACCGTGTTCACTCACATGGCTGTGCACTTGTAATGACACATTAAGGTTGTTAAGAGGCTAAAAGCAGGTTTAAAACTTGTCCCGTTTAAGTCAACAGGGTGCAAATTTTAAAAAGAGGATAACACGGTGTAGGCAACACCGGTTTTTGTCGTTGTTATCTGTAGGCTACTGACAGCACTCCGAATTTACAAAAAATGAGCTCAATGTTAAAATTGACCGGAGTTTTCCTTTAACGTTTGAACAACGTTACCATGGGAGTGAACGGAGTTGTCAGAACGCTTAATAAAGTTAGACTTTATCTGACGCGCTCCGAGAGAAGGCCGTTAAAATCGATTCCCTATTTTCGTTTTCGATACTTGTGTTGGTTGGTCCGATCGATTGTGCAATCGATTTTTTCGAACGTAGAGTGACAGCCCTAGTTAGTTGTCACACTCACAACAAGCGGGAAAGGTTGACATGGGGCTGTTAAATCTCAAACCTCCAGAGAATCACCCGTTTTAAACAAACGCCGAACCGAAGAGAGTTTGCTGGCAAAAAGAGAACGCGACAGCTCGTAATAAAACAAGAATCAACATTGGCTTGGCTTTTCAGAGATGGCAAAAACTGAGGGATTTGAAATGTTGTAAAAGCGACGCATAGATGCCGTTTTTATTACTCAACAGATGAGTAAGGCCTTTTATTGAACAGATAAACTGTCACATGTAGCTCTCAAACAGAGTTCATTGTGAAGCATTATCTAGTTTAGTTTAGTTTAGTTTATTTAAGAGTTTGACAAGGCAGGATATTGAAGGACAATACCCTGAAATGTATCAAACAGAACACATACTCAAGACAACCATATATACCTAATTAAAAAGTAAAAAATAAAAATAGAATAAACAAACAGGAGGAGTAAAACAGATGCATACAAAAACCTGAAATACATCAGGCTTCATACAAGCAGAACCTGCAAGTTATTTATAAAACAGTTTAAGAGCACGTGGAATAAAAGAAAGTTCATGTCTTTTTGATTTACTCCTGGGCACAATAAGTTCTCTACGCTGCCGTAGTAGGTAAGTAGGTGTTGGAGCCACAGACAGGAAACAATGCAGTGGTGATGAACTGTCCTTGAGTAGTTTTGTAAAAGTACGTATAGTGGCCTCGTCGCGCCTCTCACTCAGTGATGGGAGAGAAGAAGTTGGAACACCTATTATCCGACAGCAACGTTTTTGGACCCTTTCTAACTCATCAGAGAGACCTTTTGGTAGTCCACCCCATACTGGACTAGCGAACTCGAGAACTGGCCGTATAAATGTCAAATATATTTTCATTAAAACATCACATGGGAGACCCGCGTTTTTAGCAGTACAGAGATCCTGGATTCTAGGACGCACCTTCGAAATCATGTACTTAATGTGTGCGCCCCACAACAGATCAGAAGAAATTTGAACTCCAAGTAGTTTAAAGGTGGAAACTCTGCTAATTAGATGTCCTGATATTACAGGAGAGGAAAGGGCAGGGAATGTTTTTGTCTTTCCTGGCGCTAATGACCATGTCCACTGTCTTACCTCCATTCATTGCCAATGAAAATTCATGTCCCCATTCCACACTGAATCCAAGGCCTTCTGTGTTAACCCTGGTAAGGATCCCATTAAAAGTTCAGTGATTGTTAAATCATCGGCATATTTCACCGGAATTACTGAAGGAGGCAGGCGGGAATCCAAGCTGTTGGAGATTACAAAAAGCAGAGGGGATAGAAGTCCCCCCTGGGGAACACCAGCTGAAATTGGGTAGGAGTTAGACACACAGGAGCCCCACTTCACCTTTTGCTCTCTGTTACTCAGATAGCTCCTTACGCTGAGCCAAAGTGGACGTCTGACATTCATCTCAGCTAAAGCATAAAGCGGTTGACAATGATCAACTGTGTCAAAAGCTCGAGTAAAATCAACAAAAACAGCATGGATGTCCAATTTAGGATTGCTATTGAGTGCTTCATGCCAGTGTTGCAGAATATGAATCAGTGCAGTGTCAGTGGATCTGTTTGCCATGAAGCCATGTTGTGATGGTTGAATTTTAGCAACTGTATCCTCCAGAATGGCATCTCTGAGGATTCCTTCATACACTTTTTCCAACACAGCTGAGTAGTGAAATCTGCCTATAATCTGTTGGAAAACTGGGCTTTGTTTTTTTGGGAACAGCCTTGACCATTGCCTCCTTCCATTGTTTTGGAAAAATATTATTTTGCAAGCACATGTTAAAGATATCACATAGTACCGGTGCCAGCTCCTCATGAAAGGTCTTTAACATCCAAGGAGGGATGCCGTCAGGACCAGCAGCCTTTGCTGCCTTCACTTTGCAAAGTCTAACCTTAACTTGTCCAATACTCAGAAGAGGTATACTACAATTGGATAACTTGCAGGTAACCTCTTCCTCAGATGGTGAAATGTGACTTGCAGAATCCCACACAGAAGCAAAGTGCTTTGCCAAGTTGTCACACTCATATTGCATGATGTTATGATCCTGAGACACCATGTCACTCTTATCTCCTTCTATTGTGAAGGGTTGTTTCATTATGGTGGTTGTACTGCTGTACTGGAATTTATTTACAAGGAAGTACTGTGTATATTAATAGGTAAAGCTACAGTAATGTCTTCCTCTAATCAGCTTGAGATCCTTTCCATCACGCAGAGCCAAAGCACAACCAAAACAATGTTCTTCCACAAAATGCAGGTTTTTTTTTTTTAAACACTAGAGGGCTAAAAGTTACATAGTGTACCTTTAAATACAAAAGAGGCTAGTCCCTATCCATAATCTCTTCTACCCTGTTCCAGGTATGTGTTCGCCAGGAATATGTGACGTGAACGCTAAATGTTCATTCAGCGGTGGGAAGTTTCAATGCGAGTGTGAAGAGGGATTCAAGGGAGACGGCAATCACTGCGTTCCCATCAACCCCTGCGACACTAATAACGGAGGCTGTCCTGTGGAGTCCACCCTCTGTGAATTTACAGGCCCAGGGAAGGTGAGCAATGCATTGTGGGATGGAATTTGAATCTGAAGCTAATGTAGGATTCAATGTTGTTTGTTATATGAGATGTGTGTGTGTTTCCTCTCCAGTCGAAGTGTGTGTGTTCGCCCGGATCAGAGTCACCTGACCCGTCCAAGGGTTGCAAGCCAAAGCCTGTCTGTACGCCGGGTTCATGCCACAGCAGCGCTCGCTGCGAGGTGAACTCCAACGGCTTGCCCAGGTCTGTCCTGGTGCTTCCCTCACAATAATAATACGACAGTGCCACACTATTCACTATTCACTATTCAGAGAATCTCACGAAACCTTTCCAAAACATGTTCAGATCACACTTCACCCATAATCAGAAGAAAAAACATATTAAATTATATTTTGTTAAATGAAAATGAAGCAAGTTTTTTAGTTCATTGCAATATTTTTCACATATTTCAAGACATTTTACATCACATTTCTCATTGCCGTGATGCATCTGGATGATTTAGTTAAAAGTAGTGTAATATTGTTAAATTATTTTATGCATTGTGATTGCACTTCCCTCCTGAATTCTCAGAAATGAAATTATCATTACAAAATATATTATATTTCTGATTTGTCTCCATCTGTCAAAGGATATTTAAAATGTTTTTATATATTTTCGTATTAACACATCATGATAGTATTTGTTGTGCTGCTATTGATTAATGCTGATTTTAATAACAAAGTATTTGTATTACAGTCATTTTTACTGTATTGCAGTAATGATATTCTAAAGATACTTATAGATATTTAAACATCTGGATGCATAATAGTAATATTAAAGAAAAAAAATCAGAAGAAAACTTTGTTTAATTAAAATTTGTTTAATTAATTAAAACAAGAAATTTTGTTTAATTAAAGTAAAGCGTATTTTTGGACCATTGCAATCTATTACATTTTGAAAATTGTCATTGCTGTGATGCATCTGCATGTTTTACTTAAAAAGGCTGTAATGAAATCATTTTACATTTAAATCAATACATTACAAAGATTAACATTAATTCATTTTGTATGCATTGTGAATTTTTTTTATCAGAATTAAGCACTGCAATGCAAAGTAATCAAATTTTCAATTGTTAAATTCCAGTTTAAATAATGTCTAAATAGTTCTTAAATATGCTTATTTTTCTTAACAAAAATATATTATATATTTTAATATACATAAATTGTGTTTTAATGCATTTAAAAGTGCTATTTATTAAAATGTATATCTTTTCATTAAGCCTGAAAATCTGAACGACTCTTCCCTGAATGTTTTGAAAATATTATATAGACATTGCATTAACTGCTCAACGGCCCCCCCCTTTGGTTGAATCAATTATGCATGGCAACTTTAACACAGATCTGTGCAGTAATGTAGTGATTTGTTTTCATTGAGCTTTTCTGATATTATTGGGGACAATTGGCGACAACATTTGTATGCCATATTATTTCCAGTGTAAAGAGATCCGTGGTAATGAGTGATTCTGTCGCGTCATGAATAGCTGAGATGTTTGGCTCAGATGCTCGCTGAAGGCTGGGCTATAAACCGAGACGTTTCTTTCAGATGCCGCTGCACCGCTCAGCAGATTGGCGATGGCAGACGTTGCTATGGTAACCTCATGGAAAGAGTTCTGGAGCTGGACAGAGAGGGCAGTCAGGCAGGAAACCTCACTGGAAGCATTCGCCTCTTTGGTGGGTCCTTTGAGATCACCAAACCCACTTTTTTGGGGTTTTACATGCAACTTTGAGTGAACACTTCAGCCTGTTTCATCAGTGTGTTCTGGCTTTCAGAGCAAGCGTGCGAGTTTACTCTGAGCCAACACGGCCCGTTCACTGCGTTCATTCCTGTGGGGCAGAATCCATTCCAAGTGGGTTGAAGCACACTGAAAAACACACAATCAAACAGTTTGTGTTTCGTGTCCTCATTATGTTTCCTGTTTTTTGTGACAACTTCCTGCTTGTCTCAAGCAGACACTTGTAGGAAAATCCTCCAGCTACATCCTGAATGCAGTGTGTAAAAATCACCTCATCCTTGGACAGAAACTTTACAGTGATCTGGAGGGGAAAGATATGTGGATGTACGGAGGAGAAAAGATCAGATTTAAAACAAAAAAGGTATCATCTATCTATCATTCATATGTCATTCTATCTATCAGCCATTCATCCACGACCATTACCACCCCCAGCATGATAATGCACCGGACATGTCACCCATGGATCGGTGTATACGACAGCGTGTTCCAGGTCCTGCCAATATCCAGGTTCCCCCCTGACCCCCCAATACAGTAAAACTGCACATTTTAGAGTGGCCTTTTATTGTGGCCAGCCTAAGGCACACCTGTGCAATAGGAGCTGTTTACACCTGGCCACTTCATGCGTTTTCTGCGATCGGATAGCTATCCGATCATGAAAAGACCAGGTGTAAATGCCTTCCGAAACGCATTCGAGACTGATTTGAATCCGATCGCTCAAACCACTTCAGGAGGAGGTCTGGGCCGCATTCCAGACGAAACTGGACAAGTGTAAATGCATCTGGTTGTTGAAACCACATATGTAAATTTTACTCCTCCCAAAAATGCTAAAAAATAAACGTGTGAGAGCGTGTTATATAGGCTATATGTTATAGTCAGATATGATGACGCTACTGCAACACGCATCACCTCAGATGAGCACCTGAGCGTCTATTCATCAAGCCAACGTGCAAACTTTCGCAAATCAAAGTGAAAGTAAGTCGCAGAGCTTAACACGCAATCATCTTCATTAAAAGTAAAGAAACGAAATGATCTTACCAGGGATGTTGCCGCTCTCTCTTATTGCTGTCTTTGATTTTGTATTTAGCTGATGATCAATAAAATGCAGCTCATATCTGTTGCTTTCGGTGACGTGCACTTCATTAAAACTGCATATAAGGCGGGAATTGTAGATCGGATTTATATCCGTTTTGCAAAAACACATTTATGTGACCAGGTGTAAATGGAATCGTTTTGATAAATCAGATAGCTATCCGATCTGAGAAAACGCATGAAGTGGCCAGGTGTAAACAGCCCCATGATCATACTGTCTAATCAGTATCTTGATATGCCACACCTGTGAAGAGGATGGATTATCTCGGCAAAGGAGAAGTGCTCACTAACACAGATTTAGACAGATTTGTGAACACTATTTGAGAGAAATAGGCCTTTTGTGTACATAGAAAAAGTCTTAGAACTGTGAGTTCAGCTCATGAAAAATGGGGGCGAAAACAAAACTGTTGCGTTTATAATCTGTCTGTCTGTCTAGTCTAGTCTGTTCGTTGATTTTTGCATCTATCTATCTATCTATCTATCTATCTATCTATCTATCTATCTATCTATCTATCTATCTATCTATCTATCTGTCTGTCTGTCTGTCTGTCTGTCTGTCTGTCTGTCTGTCTGTCTGTCTGTCTGTCTGTCTGTCTGTCTATCTATCTATCTATCTATCTATCTATCTGTCTGTCTGTCTGTCTGTCTGTCTGTCTGTCTGTCCTATCTATCTATCTATCTATCTATCTATCTATCTATCTATCTATCTATCTATCTATCTATCTATCTATCTATCTATCTATCTATCTATCTATCAGTCTATCAGTCTGTCTGTCTCTTTCTATCTATCTATCTATCTATCTATCTATCTATCTATCTATCTATCTATCTATCTATCTATCTATCTATCTATCTGTCTGTCTGTCTGTCTGTCTGTCTGTCTGTCTGTATGTCTGTCTGTCTGTCTGTCTGTCTGTCTGTCTGTCTGTCTGTCTGTCTGTCTGTCTGTCTGTCTGTCTGTCTGTCTGTCTAGTCTAGTCTGTTTGTTGATTTTTGCATGTGTCTGCAGCGCTTCATCCTGATGAGAGATCCAGACGTATTGTTTACTGTACTAGAGAGCGACATCCCAGCTTCCAACGGAATAATTCATATTATTGACAAGCCCTTTACTCTTACTCATATTGAATCCTCAAACAGCAACATGGAGGTAAAGTCATTGTTACTATTTCACAACCATCTGATTTAGTAATATCTGATGAATGATACACGACACCAACAGCAACACCCACTAATGTAGATGTTCTTTTCTGCAACCTCAAGTTCTCCTCCAAGACCATCGGGGAGATTTTCAGAGAGGATGAAAGGTTCAATCGATTCCTGTCTCTGGTTGATGTGAGTGATCTCCTATCGGGTTTGCTTTCTGCATTTCTCCACTGAACCCAAGCATTCAAAATATTTTGTCTCTTTCTGCTGCAGAATTGTGGAGCCCTGTTACCCATTAGAGGTTCAGGTCCTCTTACAGTGCTTGTTCCAACCAACAAAGCCATAGACAAATTCAGAGACGGAAGTCTTATGTACATGCTGAACGATGTAAGCTGCCAATATGTGTTTTCTGCCTCTAATGAAGCTGGATATGTATAATCAAGTTATTTGGATCCCAGTTTTACTCATTGTTTTAATCAAATCCATAGGATATTCATATATTTGTTCATAACACTGATTTTTCATCTCTTTGTTATAAAGGCCAAACCAAAGCTTCAGACGCTTCTGAAACACCATATGTTCTCCCTGGCCGCTGTAAGTCTCTCTTTGACCTCTGGAATGTAATAAATGGTTTCCCACAGTTATTTTGACGTAAAAATGGGGCATTTACTGTATGTACATCACTTTGGAGAAACTCTGAAATGGTTTGATGAATGCAGTTTTCTTGAAATGTCACAGCCTGCAAAACCATGATTTGCTTAATGCTAATGCTAGTCATTTGCAAGGTATTCATCCTATTTTAAACAGCATTTAATTGGACAAAAATGTGTAAGCCCCTGAGCAGTAGATGATTTCGGTGTATTTTTGGGTGAAATCTAGGTCTCTGAAGCTCTTGCGAGATTAGAATTTGCTGCCTCCAAGGTTAAGAGTAGGGTTGCTTCGAGACTCAAAATAAACGCTATGTACAAATGTGTCAGATCTTTGGCAGAACAGGGGTTACCATTTAGACAGCCGCACTTTTGGACCATTTTCCAACTGCTGAAAGGTTACTGTCAATTTCAGTACACTATTTGTCAATGTCAGTACGCTAGAATGTATATAGCCTTATAGCTAACGAACATAAACTAAAATCTCCAAATTTGATTTTATTAGTCTTTTAATTAGTCTTTAAACTAGTCAGTAAGTGCAGTATTTAGCTGACTATTTGGGTCAGTGACTAATATAATACTAAATGTATGTTTGTAGTTGTTAAACAGTTTGGCCAGTTCCATAGTTATGCAATGGATAACATATATCATATCATATATCTTTTACTTAGATCACTGTGGACCAGCTCGCCAGCATGTCTGAGATTACGACCATGGCCAATGAGATCTTAAGGATCAATGCCTCTGAGGATGTAAGTGACTGTCCTTCATTGATTGCATTGGCTGTAACTCCTGATGGCAATGAGACATTTTTATAAGATTTGGGGCAAATGTGTTGGGCCTCATTCTGTGTACAATACAAACATTTGGTGACTTAGTGGCAGTATAATAAGAACAAATCGAAAATAATGGGACTGTTGTTTTTACATTCTCTCAATTAATCCACAGGGAAGAGTCTTTTTGGGTGATAAAGGAATACTTCTCGAAACGAAAGACATTGTTGCGGCCAATGGAATCATTCACCTGATCGATGGAGTTCTTGTACCTTCCTCCATAGTTCCCATAATGCCCCATCGTTGTGACATTAATGGGAGCAGGATCACATTTGTAGGTGCCTTTATTGGGATCTTTTTGTTAATATGTGATGACATAATTCTTGTATGTGTGGCCAGTAAAACAAATTATCAACACCAGAATCTTCTCTAGGACAAAGCACTAAATATTAAGCAAATTTATGTGAAGTAAATAAAATCATAGGTTATTATAGTCATTATAAAACTGGTCACAATATTTAATCTTCGACTTTAATAGGCAAACATAACTTTATTTAATTTTAATAATAATACTTTGAAATGTTTTTCACAGTGTACTTGCATGGCCAAGTTTCCAAATGGAATTGCAAAAACACTGAAATTGATTAATTAAATATGTAAGGGATAATCCACGGCTAGCCATGCATTAAAGGATTTTAATGCACGACGTAGAGGCGAAGAACCACCCGACGCTTCGCTTCGAAATTAATCCGCTACTATAAACATTGGTAACCATAGTAACAGCTACACTTGCAAACAGAGTGAGAGAGAGACACATATGAAAATGTTTAGGTAGGCTCAGAGACATAGAGAGAAAGAGTTGCGACACCCTCTGATGTCGCCGCGACGGCTGTCACGTGGTTCATGTAAGCCCCAATAGTTCCAAAACATACGCTGGCTGTCATGTTCTTCTATGGGACAGACAGCAGCGATTGCATTATTGAACGGTAAATATAAAATAAAACACACACCCAAGTACTTTTTCAGCTGTTACTGCATTATTGTATACACGTCTGTTAAAAAATTACACTGTAAACATCAGTTACAGCTTTAACTTATTTTTAACTTGGCAAATAACCGAGGTATAAGCGGGTGGTTCTTCGCCTCTACGTCGTGCATTAAAATCCTTTAATGCATGGCTAGCCGTGGATTATCCCTTACTTAATTAATTATAATATAAATAATTGTATTTATTTATTGTTTGTTTGTCAAATACAATTTATTTATTTATTATGGTAAATAAAGATTTTCTATGAATTCTATTTTTTTTTTTCTTCTCTCCATAGGGTTCCTGCGTCCGATGTAGCCATCTCTATGAGACACAATGTCCACCTGGAAGTGTTGAGCTGGTAATACTAATTTCAGTTATTTATTAACTAAAGACATCTTTAATCAATACGCAATTGTTAAAAGACATTTGAAATGAATGGGTTTTCAACATTACAATTACAAATGAAGAGAATCAGAACATGAGCACCACTGACAAGAGTGTTGACCATCATTTATTCAAACAAAAGCTGCGTTTTTTCCCCACTTGATAGACAGGTCATCTTAAAGGCTGTGAGCCACTTCCTGATCGCCGATGGTCGTTCTCAGTCTTCGAGGAAGGCTGTGCTAAATACTGCAACATTACTCAGATGGTATGAAAACAAGGTCTCAGTTTCTTCAAATACATTAATCAATAAATATTCTGAATTATTTATAATGAATACTCTGTGAGATGTTTTGCCATCTTGTTTGCAGACGCCGCAGTGTTGCAGTGGTTTCTATGGGCCGGACTGTAAGCCGTGCATTGGAGGTTTCCAGCACCCATGTTATGATAAAGGGACTGTAAGTATATCAGTATGAACACACTATGAACGTGACTTCATGGGAAGAAATGGTTGCTGTTTATTTGTCATGTCTCCATCCGTAGTGTTTTGACGGCATCTATGGAAACGGCTCCTGTAAGTGTGAACCAGCGTTTAAGGGCGTAGGGTGTCACCTCTGCTCAGACCCCAACAAACATGGAGATAACTGTGATGAAGGTGAAGTTATACCGTATATGTTTTTTTTTTATGTTCAAAGTACCTCCTTCTGTCTCTTTGTCCAAACCGTGACCCGCCGCTGATGAAGTAGCAGCGGTTGTGACCTTCTCCTCTCCTTGCGCTCTGTTCGGTCCTGTAGATTGCAGCTGTGTCCATGGCGTCTGTGATAGCAGGCCTGGCAGTATGGGGCTGTGTAGGAAAGGATCCTGTCTGGAGGGGTTTTCAGGGGACCTTTGTGACCAGACCGCCACCCCTTGCAATTCAGACGGCGTCCTTGAGCACTGCCACCTTCACGCCAAATGTGTCTACAACAATGGGCAAACCATGTCAGTGTCACTTGAGCATGATATCTAGATCGTTATAAACTGCCCGGATGTTTATTTTATGTTATTTTATTTTATTTTATTTTTTAAATAGTCTGGGTTGTTTTATTTCATTTAATTTAATTTTAGGCCATTTTTTTTAATGTTTAATTGTTTTACAATCAAATACTTTTACCGTGCAATGCCCATCATTTTATTTATTTATTTATTTATTTATTTTTTACAGTAAGGGTTGTTTTATTTTATTTTATTTTATTTTATTTTATTTTATTTTATTTTATTTTAAACACATTTTTTGATGTTTGATTGTTTTACAATCAAATACTTTTACCCTGCAATGCCCATCATTTTATTTTATTTTATTTTATTTTTTATTTTATTTTTACAGTCAGGGTTGTTTTATTTTATTTTATTTTATTTTTTAAATAGTCGGGGTTGTTTTATTTAATTTAAATTTAATTTTAGGCAATTTTTTTATGTTTAATTGTTTTACAATCATATACTTTTACCATGCAATGCCCATCATTTTATTTTATTTTATTATTATTCTTTATCTTTTTACAGTCAGGGTTGTTTTATTTAATTTAATTTAATTTAATTTTAGACCATTTTTTTACCCCGCAATTGCCATAATTTATTTGATTTGATTTTACAGTCAGATTTTCATTTTTATTTTAGACAACAATTTTGGCCAATATTTTGGCGAACGTTTTACAACCCCATACTTTTACTCTGCACTGCCCATTGAAGCAATCATCTTGTGTTTAACGTTTGTAATGTGCCGGCTTGTTAATCGGCATCTGTCTTTGGCGTGTTATTGATCTATTGCACATTGTGCTGTAGGTGTGTTTGTCTGCCTGGATACGAAGGAGACGGTTACACCTGCACTGAAACCAATCTCTGCCTCCAGCCTGAGAGAGGAGGCTGCGACGTCAATGTGAGACTCACGTATTTCCCTTTTCCAGCAGTTTGCCTCTAGCCCTCAGATGTAGAACAAATCTAAAGTGATGTCTGCCCTGTTCTTAGAACATCAGAATTCAGATTCACAGTTGCCCTTTGATTCAAACTGACACATTAAATTGATTTCCAGCATTGGCCAGGGTTGAATTTTTGCACCTCTGTTGTAAGAGTAAAACAAAAAGTAGATAACTACAATGAAGTTACTTAAGGATGCAATGTGTAAAAAAAAAAAAAAAAAAAAACTGATAATCAGACTTGATCAGATTACATAATTTATAATATAATCAGAGCTGTATTTTGCTGGCACAAAAACAGAAGGAACCGAATGTTCATGTCAATAGAATGAATCAGACTGTGCATTATAGCATTAACGTATTCGCTAGGACGTATTAGTAATTTCATTAGAAATATATTATATTTTAGTAGAATAGTCTTTGGGCAATATGAGCAAAGCTAAGAAACTTCTGGCCTTTTGTGAAAATTGTTTAGCTATAAAAGTGAAGATAATATTTAAATAATAATAATAATAAACTAATTGGCTGTGTGCCACCATTAAAAAAAAGCCAAGAAGGTTAATAAATAATTTTAGAAAGAGAAAAAATGTTTCCTAATTTCGACTTTTTATGTCATAATCATATTTTATCAAAGAATGTTTTTTTTTCTTATGTGGCATAAATGGGCTTTCATAGCAACTCTTACAGTGTGAAATGTGTCGCTACTTAGAAAGTAGTGTGTAAATGTAATTTCTCCCACCAGCCTTAGTTGCATCAGCAGAAGGTTAGGAAATGCTATGAAAACCAGCAGAAATAATATGAAAGCCAACTTTCGTTTTCGTTATTATACTACACCCTGCTGAATCATGCGCAATATGACAATGTTCAGGTCTTTAAGTCGGTTTAACTCTTTTTTGTGTGTGTGTGTGTGTGTGTGTGTGTTTAATAGGCCATGTGTACGTACGATGCTGGAAAGGTGAACTGTGTTTGTATGGAAGGATGGACCGGTGATGGGAGTTTGTGTGTGGAGATCAATAACTGCCTGCTGGAGAGCCGTGGTGGATGTCATGAAAGTGCAGACTGCTCCCCGACTGCGCCAGGACAGGTAATGATCCTGATACCATAACCTGGATTAGTAAATAACCTGTGAGGATACAGTTAACCTGTAGGACAGCGAACAACGATCGTACCCAGAAATTTAACGTAATGCAAGGACTAGACATCTCAACAATGTTTCAAATAACAAAGTCTGCAATCAAGTCAGAGATCTCAATATGAACTCATCAAATTCTTTGAATTTCAAATGCTCTGAGCTACTATCCACAATTATTTTATAGCTCTGTACTCCTTATTGTCTGACAACTATTGTCTGACTTATGCAAGTTTGCAATTTTCCAAAGGAACTTTAAGAAAGAGACTGAATTAATACAAGAAAAATTACCATTGCACACCCAGACCTGAGTTTTGCTCAACTTATTTTTCTGTTCAGAATGAATGTAGCTGCAAGAAAGGCTACATGGGAGATGGCATCGTCTGTAAAATCGTCAACCCCTGTTTGTCAGATAACGGAGGCTGCCATTCTCTGGTGTGTATTTCATCCTTACAGAGTTATGTACAACATAATAACCTTTCAAAAGGAGGCTAAATTTAAGGCTAAAACTCCTTTATGCTAGTATGTAATGTTGTGTAACTGCCCGATAATGTTTCCAGGCCACATGTAAATTGAAGAGTCCTGGAACGCGTGAATGCACATGCCCAAGCGAATACGAAGGTGACGGACTCACGTGTTATGGAAACATACTTATGGTAAGATGACGCATTCATTTAATCACAAGGTTTTAAATCGGCTGTCAACACCATGGACACACACAAATACATATACACAATGGACATATTCACAATAGATATGTTCCTAAAAACTGATTTGGATCAAATTGTCTTAAGTTATTCATTTTTTGGTAACACTTTATTATTTTACAGTGTCCTTGTTACATATGTTACATGTACTTACCATAGTAATAACAGTAAATGATCCATAATTACATGTAACTAAACCTCAACCAAACCCTAATCCTACCCTAACCCTATAGTATACATGTTGTTTAGTAATATTACTCAGTACTTAGATATGTAATTACACTGCAACAAAGACACCTTAAAATAAAGTGTAACCCATTTTTTTATTTTCAGGAGCTAGATGGAAATTCTGTGTTCTATAATTTCAATCGCTTCCTTCAAGTAAGTACATCTTTACCCGAGTAAATTGTCAATGAGTCTTTTTACAAAAAATGATAATGACTTGATTGAAAGAGAAAAAGGATTATTTATTACACAAATAATATTCTACAACATTTTTGTGTTTATCTGCAGAGGCACAAAGTGATTGAGAGTGACAGCAGAGTCACGGCTTTGGTTCCATCTAAAGTTGCTTTCAAGAACCTCAGCAATTCAGACGAGACTTTTTGGTTTGATTATTACAGGCTGCCTCACCTTCTACAGTATGTGTTTGGATTGACATCGAGAACTGATTTATGAGGTTTGCAGACGAGAATAAATACCATGAGATAATTTTCTGTGTGCGATTTCTGTCTAGAGTTCATTTTTTAGAGGGGATCTACACCACTGAAGACTTACTGCAGCAAGTTGGTAAAACAGTCCAGACTATAGGAAAGACTAAATGGGTGGTGCAAAGCAACGGCAGGGTAACTGTCACACAAACCCAACCCCTCGGATTAATTTCAGCCTTAAATTGGTCATCTTTCACTGACCTGTTCACCCTTGTGTCCCTAGGAGCTCATGATCGGCAATGCTACCATTATTGTCCCAGACCTCAAGGCAATAAATGGGTGCATTCACATTATTGACACGGTAATTAAACTTTGCAAAGATGGTGTCTGGTTTTTAAAATACCAAACCAAAAGTATTAAACTTAAGTGCATTCCACACTTTTTGTGCAACGAATTTACAATAAACAAGAAAATGTGATGTCCCATCGACCTACATGAAAGGAGGGAACCAAGACATATCTAGAGACCAGAAAAACTGCATAGCAACACCCTAGCAATGGCCTAAAAACATGTAGAACACATTAGTTACTGCATAGCAATGCCCTAGCAACTACCTAAAACACCCTAGCAACAACATAGCAATCCCTTAAACACACTCAAAACACAGCAACTGCATAGAATTGCCCTGAAAACATTTAGAACACCTTATCAATTGCATAGCAACAACAGAGCAACACCCTAAAAACATTTAGAACACCTTAACAACACCTTGGCAAACTAGCTCTGTGGTGCCAATTTTTTCCCCGGCCATATTATTCACCTCATTTTTATACATAACAAATCTGTTTTTCTCACAGGTTCTTCGACCCGCTCTATCTGATTTACCTCCACTACCTCCCACTTTGATGAAGATCCTAAACAACACACCTGAATTCAGCCTTTTCAGGCAGGCGGCACTGGTGAGTTTCTGCCATTTACCCAGAGCTATATCTTACTCAATCTTTTCAAAAAGAGTAACATAATAACTGAATACAGATTTTGTTACATAAGCATAGTTGTTTCTACTTTTTTAGCTTTACGACTTGGAAAAAAGTATCCCAACCAGAGATTACACCATTTTTGTCCCGTATGACAGTGCCATACAAGAGTACCTGAATAAAACAAACTCTACACAACTGGTGAGTGAAACTTTTTGAAACAATGTTTGATCATATCAGTCATAAAGTTGACGAAACGGTCTCTTTTCAACAGAGCAAAGACATTGTAAAATATCATGTAATTATAAGCGAGCAACTCTTTCCTGAACACTTGGGCGATGGACTCTTCAAAAACACGTTTTTGGGAAATGGCACTCAGATCATGTTTTATGTGGACACTGATAATCAGGTATTGCACAACTGGCAACAACTCATGTTCTATACAGTGCTTAGAGGAAAAAAGTTGTGATTAACTATTCCTAAACTCCAGACAATGGCCAATGACGTTCCCATAAACGGAAGCTTCATTGAGACGAGGCATGGCACAGTGTTCGGGATCCCACGTGTCTTAGACCTTCACAAGAACCACTGCAGTAATGACGTGATTTTAAAAACTTCTGTAAGTTTCTGTTGGTACTTATGAGGTGACTTTCTCGAAGTGGCGTAACGAACAAAGTTAAGGAACGTTTGCTTTCTTTGCAGGGCCGCTGTGGAGATTGTACTGCTGCACCAAAATGCCTCTATAATGCCAAACCTGTGAGATGGGTTCATTGTTGTTTTAGTTTGTTCTTAACTTTCATGTTATTCATAATGGTAAAAGTAAGAAGAAAGAAGTTTATGATTCGTTCTTCTCATCATTTCTTCAGATACAGCCAAAGTACCCTCAAAATATGAAGTCAAACTGTAAATACAGGACAAGAGTTGGAAAAAAGAGAACAATGGTGCCGGGCTGTCACATTGAATGTTTGAGAACAACAAAGGTACTTTATTTTCTAAGGTCAGAAGCTTACTGAACAAGTATGCAAACTCAGACGTCACTGATTGTGGTGCACAGTCCTGTTGTATACTTAAGGGGACTTACTTGAGTAGGGCTGGGTATTGACACAAATTTCACAATTTGATTCGATTTCGATTCACAAGCTTGCAATTCGATTCGATTCCGATTCGATTCAATATTGATTATTTTGGATATCAGGTACAATACATGGCAAATTTTCTCAAGGAAAACAAATCTCTTAACTAATGCTGTAAACTATGGGAGTCAGTTGTAGCCTACTAGGCTTCATTAGCCTACTATAATATTGAAGGTAAAAATTAACTGATTTGTAGCTATAACACTTAAATTACACTTTTATTTATTTTTATAACAATAAAGTTATATGAAATATAAACATTTAAATGGTGGCTGTCATAAAAACTTGCCAGATTTATTCAAACATGCATTAAATATCGAAGAATATTAAAAATTATAATGTAATATGGTGCATATATTTAGCAAAATGCTCCTCTTTGGAGTTAATTTTTCTAGCTGACTAACGAGTTTATGGTCAGATAAGGTTTTTCTGAGGTAAATGTGACGTTACATGACATTGTTTACAAATTGTTTTACTGACGTCTTTCCACGGTTGAAACACTGATTGAGCGATTCCATGTGACATGATACGGATTTCGATAAGTTGTACTCTATCTTTTAACACACTTTCAGACGTTCATTCATGTTTATTTGGCGCTGTATCTGGTATTATTAAGGCGGAAGAGGAGATCATGTGCGCTCCGCGCTGCTGCTTCTCTTGAGCTGAGCTGAGCCAGAGCGATCTCACGCCACAGCGCCAAAACGGTATGTTTTTGAATTTCGTAAGAAAATGGACGTAATTTGAAATTTGAAACTTTATTTAGTATCAATAGTAACAAAGCACGAAGATTATTGCGATTTATTGGATGGGATGCGCGCTAACAGGATGACTAATCGATTCTTGAGATTTAAGAATGGATATCGTTCGTAAAAATGAGAATCGATTAATATCGAGAAAACGATATTTTTTACCCAGCCCTATACTTGAGTTTACGCTACAGATCCATTGATTTCAATGAGGACGGTGCAAAGGTTAGTTCACCCAAAAATAATAATTCTGACATCATTTACCCCCCAAACCCGACTTTGGTTCATCTTCGAAACACAAATTAAAATATTTTTAATGAAATCTGAAAGTTTTCTGTAAATAAAAGTCTAAATTTAATCTGTTCATCATATAAAGCAATTGTATCTCCTCATAAGACTTGAATGAAAGTGCTCGATTCATATGGATTTGTTTTACGATTACTTTATGACATTTTTAGATCTTCTAAGTTTTGGTTACCTGGACTTTCAATTGAGGGACAGAAACATTGTGGATTTCATTAAAAATGTTATCATTTGTGTTTCGAAGTTGAAGTTTGAAATGACGTCAGGGCGAATGATGACAATATTATTTTTTTCAGTGAACTATCCCTTTAGGATGTCGAGGAAGGATTCCTACTTTATTTCAAACTGAACTATAAACATGTTGACAGTTTAACAAACTTTAATTGACTTCAAACTGTTGCTTCGTCTTGATATTCATTGACTTGAAAGAAAAAACTAACCATAGAAGAAGAGTTTATAATAGTCTCTTCTATAGCCCCCACTTGTGGCAACACTGAATATGTAAGCTATACTTCTATTTGGACACATTTCGGAACAATACAATGTGTTAAATCAAGATCACGGAGCTAGAAATGCTTTTTGGACTGGAGTATTGTGTGCTGGACTGGTTGGGTTTACACCTTTAAATTCAGATTTGAAGATGATTCAGATTCAGACCTCATAATAACTTTCCTTCCAGGACCACTCCTGCTGTCCAGGATATTTCGGGCATGATTGCTCCAAATGTCCTGGGACTGTGGATAACTGGTGCTCCAACAACGGTCAATGCCAGGACGGGCTGTTCGGCAGCGGGGAGTGTCTCTGTAAAGAGGGCTTTCATGGAACGACCTGTGAGATGTGTGAACCTGGGAGATATGGAAAAGACTGCAAGTCAGGTAACATCTCTGAGCAATGTTCTATTCTACGATCTTGGCATTCTGTTAGTGTTGTTCAAACATATTTTTTTTTTTTTCTCAGAATGTCACTGTGACCATGGCAAATGTTTGGACGGTATGGAGGGAAATGGGCAATGCATTTGTTTCAAAGGTTGGAAGGGAGTGAATTGCTCTGTTGGTCAGTATTAAGGTTAAATGGCAACAGTTTGTGTCAGATCGCATGTTTCTTACCTTAATGCACTTTACGTCATCATTTTTTTTATTTTGCAGCGGTAGTTGATGATGCCTGTGGTGGAGTTTGTGATGTCAATGCTAAGTAAGTATGTAAAACGAGTGGCAATATAAGGCACTTTATATTTTTAACACATTCATCAGTGTTTATAGTAAAATATTGTTCTGCCAGCTGTATCTCAGGAGGTTCAGGGACTCGTCCAACTTGTTACTGCAGCGCTGGTTATAAGGGTAATGGGACTTTTTGCAAAGGTTTGTCTGTTTCATTGCTAAGCTTGTCATTGAAGTTTTTTTTCTCAGTGACAGTGAAATCAATATTCACCCTGTTTACTTTCTTAATACACATTCCTGGTCTTATTGTAAATGCTTTGCATACGCCTTCCACAGAACTTGACCCATGTGCCACAGAAAATGGAGGGTGTTCCACAAATGCAAACTGCACAAAAACATCGCCCGGTGAAAGGAGCTGTGCATGTAATGCTGGCTTCGTTGGTGATGGGGTTGTGTGTCTCGGTAAAAGAGTGATTCACTTCCTGTAATTTCCAAATGGGTAGAATGAATACAATGAAATTATTTTTTTAGATTTGACGTGTCCATCAATGCATCTGTGCAACATTTTTATTTTTGTTTGGCATTTAAAACTTTTCTGATTCCTATAGTGTGTGTTGTTGTGTAGAGGGTCTTGGTCTGCTGCCTATGGTTTCTTTGATGTTAATTTAGTATTATAATTAGCATTATTATGTTTTATTTACCAGTTCATGTGCATGTGATATGTGCTTAGGGTGTGCCTCAGGGCTCTGTATTGGGCTCAATTATCAGTTTTGCATTGTCTGCGAGCATTTATTTTTTTAAACTTGTGTAATTGTGTTTTCACTACAGAAATGGACGCCTGCTTAGTGGACAATGGAGGATGTGACAAAAATGCTTTATGCATGAAAGTTGGACCAAACAGGGTTTGTGTCACCAATTTTAGTTAATGCCTAACAACAAGTGTTGACGTTAAGAAGTGAACAATAAAATGTTGTGCATTACATTTGTTACAGGTTGCATGTGCATGCAAGCCTGGTTTTACTTCCTATCGTCATATGTGTTTGGCAGTTAATCCTTGTCGGAAGGTAACAGATTTCAAAGACAGTATTATGGCAAATTATTTTAAATCTATAAGGTATTTTTGTATGCAATCATTTTTATTTTGTTATATTACAGAATAATGGCGACTGCAGTATTAATGCTGTTTGTAGATACCTCGGTGATGGGGAACGTAATTGCACATGCTATATTGGCTACAAAGGAGATGGTTTTAAGTGTGCAGGGACTGTCAGTAGAGTTAGTATCATTTAAGATGAATTTTAGGTTAAATATAATGATTTACCAAACATGATAAACAACAACTTCTGCTTTTAAAATGAATCTCTGAATTTATTGCAGGAGCTTCTTCGTATTCCCGAGGCATCATGGTTGCGAATACGTTTTGGTGTAAGTGCATGTTTAAACTAGCTAATTTCTTTATATATTTGAAATATATTTACAATAATAATGTGAAATATGTGTATGTTATAGGTAATGAGAGTCCGAGATTTGTACAGCCAAGGACCTTTCACTGTGTTTGCTCCTCATGCAGATTATGTCGCTAATTTTTCGGTATGTTGCGCTCCCACAAACTGCATCACACAAAAGTATTATAACATTATAAGTCAGTTCATCTCCTGTGCTAAGAATTTTTCTTTCCTAATCTGATGTCACCTGATATTCAAGAAGTTAAGAAGAGACTTTTTAATATATCGGTATTGATTAGATAGTAAATAAGTAGGCGTTACATAATAAATGTTGTTTTTCGAAGTTGTGTTAAAAGTTAAATGCATGCGAGATTGCGAAGGCACTTTTTTTCCTTTTGAAATAGTGTACACCATTGTACATTTGCACAAATCAAAAAGGATTAACCTCTTTTCTATTGTTATTTCATAATTTCTTGTCATGACAGACTCCACAGGTTGAAGCATTGATGAATTCAAGTCACATGTCAGACCTGCTGCGTTACCACATTGTCAGTTGTGAAGAATTGCGTGAATCAGACCTCAAATCTGTTAAAGAAGTTGTCACCAGTAGTGGATATAAATTACGCTTCAGCGTTAGAGATGTGAGTACTTGAAGTTTCAAACACATTTTATATTTTCAATATTGAATTTTTCCTCTGATTTAAGGTCGGAAATTAACAGTGGCTTGGGGAAAAAATGCCACCAAAATGAACAAAAATACCTTCCAAAATAATTAAGCATCATTAAGAAAACGGTAAATGCCATGTTTGTAGTGTAAAGATGACTTTTGTGGAGGTTGATAACATTTTATTGGCAACAGCCTATAGTATTCTGATTGATTCATTGAATTGAATACATCTAATAATTTTACATATAAAAGACAACACAGATTAATTTAATTAGGTGATTATAACAATGTCCTCTACAAAGGTGAAAAAAATTCTCTGCAAATGATTTCCCCTTATTGGAAAAGTTGATCTGAACCATATTCCTTTGTCTCTCAGGGTGTTGTGTACATCAATGACAATACAAAGATCATCACCAGTGACGTTGAGTGCTCCAACGGAGTCATACATTTTATAGACAAGGTCCTCTTTCCGGATGAACTAACGGGCAAGGCAGATATCAACACTACTGTATGTAATGGCTACCATTTTTTTTAAGTGTAAAATATTTAATAAAAATATCATTCCACAAAGTGAAACTCAATTTATGTTGCAGTTGAACATTACAGCAGCTGCTGAACAATATGGCTTCAAAATCTTCAGCAAGCTCCTGCAGGTCATATTTTTGCTGTAGATTCAGATCTTTTGGTTATCCATCCAGATGCATTATTCTTACAAACATCTTCCAAAAACATCATGTCTTCATCTATACAGGATGCGGAACTGATGCATGTGGTGCAACATCAACCCTTTTACCCATTCACCATGTTCTGGCCAACGGATGACGTTTTTAACAGACTCCCTGAGGATAGAAAGAAATGGCTGTACAGTGAAGACCATCGTGATAAACTACAAGCCTACCTCAAAGCTCACATAGTCCGCGACCAGAGTGTAAGTGAGACTCAAACCTAAATGAATTCTGTGAAATGATTTAAAACATTTAATGAAATCAAGTTATATATCAAAGTACCATGGTGTTACCATTTGATAGCGTCACTGTACCATGGTACTGCCATAGTACTTTCTTTTAAGGGTCACAAAACTGTTTTGGTTGTATGTTTCCAGGTAGTCGCTGTTGCTCTTCCTGCTGAGAAAAGCATGGAAACATTGATTGGTACTGAGCTCACCTTCAGATGCAACAAAGATTTAACGGTAAGTATTTGGAGGAGGAATAATGAGCAAATAATTCCTTATATCCTTCTTGTTTGTAAAAATGTTAATGATTTATTTATTATTTTTATGTTTTGATTTTTATTGATCTTTATTTACAAACCTTTTTTTTAACATTTAGTCTTTAGAATGAATATTATTTAGTATTATAAATATTTAAATATTTCTAAATATTGTTTTTGTCTCTGTTTTTTTATAGTGATTTATTTTATTTAAAAATAAATATTTTTTTCAACATTTATTCTCTGAGTGATTGTGGAACAAAATATTAGAAAATTTATAAATATTAATAAATATTTGTCTTTTTATAGTAATTTATCTTTTAATTAGAAATCAAATCTAGTTTCTGGAATGAACATTTGTGGAACAAAATATTTATTTTTAGAAATATTAATACATATTTGTTTTTAATTTCTCTTTGTCGAACATTTAAAACTTGACATAAGCCAATTTAGCTAACTCATCCTGATAAAATATGAGATTGGGAACTACATCCTGCACCATTGTGAATTAATTTGAAGTGTTATTGTTAGACATTTGAATGTAAATTTGCTCACGTCTCATTGACTGATTTTCAGGGCGACATCTTAATCAATGGAAACAATGCCAGAATCGTAGCGCGAAACATGCGGTTCGTTTCAGGAATCGCTCATGGGATTGACCAGCTTCTGGAGCCGCCGAGTATTGGCGCTCGCTGCGATGACTTCGCAAGCATAGAGATAAAGGTACGAAACTTGTTGTTGATTTGAGACTAAGATAATGTTCATGCTCTTAGATATTTAAGTGAGATTATTTATGTCACCAAAAATGGGACAAAATAAAAAGTAAAGCACAATTGGAAAAAAGCACGTGTCCAGAAAAAAATCGAGTTATTTTTTTGTTCAATTTAGTTCCACTACTGGTACAACAAGCTTGCTTCAAAGTGATTTGAACATTAAAACACATGGGCCATCCTAACGTTGTTATAACATTGTTTGTTTTCAGGGACTTTGCGGTTCTTGCGGTGTGCAACACCGTTGTCCCATCGGATCAGAGGACACAGTGAGTGTATCTCATCATCTTGTTGATTTGTGGTTCTGCTGCGTTAACATAACTTCAGCAGTCAGCACTTTATTGACTTACGTTTTGTTATTTTTTGGTTTTGTTGCATTTACAAAAAATTTACAGTCAACCCTTTATTGACTCAATATTTGTTATTTTTTGGTTCTGTTGCTTTAGGAAAACTTAAACAGTCGGGACTTTATTGACTTACTTTTTGTTATTTTTTGGTTTAATGATGTTTTATTGACTTTTTTTATATTTTTTGGTTCTGTTGCATTAACAAAACTTTAGCAGTCAGCACTATATTGACTTATGCTTACACAAACGTAGCATGCATTGATCCAGACTGATCTCTTCTTACAGAACAGAACTAGCATTTGTAGACGACCCTATTCACCTTACATGCACAGACGGCCCAGTTATTATGGTTTGTACTCGTATGGTTACGGATACAACTCCTACAGAGATTGGCTTGGCTGTAATCGGATATGTACGAAAATGACGTGGGATGCAAAGTGCTGTAAAAACCACTTCGGAAGAGACTGTCAAGGTGAGAATTGAACAAATGTTGCATGAAATGATGCAGCCAATTGGTGTAAAACTGTGTTGGTTTGTGGTTTAGTGTGTCCTGGTGGACTCGAGGCGCCGTGTGGAGAGCATGGAGACTGCGATGACGGGCGCACCGGCACAGGAATGTGTAAATGTCACACAGGTTTTGTTGGCACAGGCTGTGAGCTGTGTGAAAAGAATCACTTTGGGCCGAACTGCACAGGTAACCCATTCAGTCAGCCCTGTTTTGAAACCGTGAACTATTCCTAAACAGTCCAATTCCTTATGCAATATGCACAAGCATTGGAGAAGACTAAGTGAACAGGCAAATCAGAACAACCGAACTATAAGAATAATTATGCAGAGTACTACATAATATGCAGGAACCGGGTCCAAAATGAACAGAACTGTAGGTAGAAATTAAAAGATAAAATAGAGCTACTGACAAGTTGGCTGGTACTATTTTGGTTGAAATTATTGTCAGTTTTCACACTTTTCGAATAGTTTTTGTTCTTTGTTACATTTTTTGCATAAATCTCACAAAAATATAGTGAGGTTTATGCTTTAAAGAAGAAAATTAGAAAATTTTACAAAGGGGTAAGAAAAATAAACTTCAATTTTCTAAGTTCACGAGGTACTGGAGACTGATGACTTTTTTATATTGAAATGTATTTTTATGGTAGTTGTACTATACTTTGTGTTAACAGCTATAATTCACAATTTATCATTTTTTCCTCACAGCATGTAACTGCACCCGCAATGGCAAGTGTGAGGACGGTCTGGATGGTGAGGGCAGCTGTTTCTGTCAAGAGGGGTGGACTGGTAAATACTGTGAATCAAAAATCGGTAAGAGCAGGCTTCACATGAAAAACTGCATTCAATGTATTGGATTATTAAGATATGTTTGGGGTTAAATATGAGACGAAATCTGCGTAGATTACCACAGAAAATGTTTTTGACTTGTTCAACAATGAAAATAAATAAATTGTTGACAAATATCAACATGGTGCCCCTAGAAGGGACATGGTGGAGGAAAAAAATATGAGATGGGTCGAAAAATTATGTCAATGTTTTGCTTTTTTCTTACAAATATTGTGCATTCCCTTGAGAAACTTTGCATTCGCAAGTAAAATGTTTGCGTTCCCCAGAGAAACTTTGCGTTCGCTCTCAAAATGTTTGCGTTCCCCCGACAAACTTTGTGTTCGTTCGCAAAATGTTTGCTTTCCCCATCTCATGTTTTTTTCCATCACCATGTCACGTTATGGGCTCCATACAATTACACACTTACAATGGAAGTCTATTCTGCAAACAAAAAATCTTCAATATTTTAGGTACTTAAAAAAGATAAAAGATATTAAATGAAACCAGATTTTGTGATGTTTTTTTTTTCAAAAAACAAGAAAAAAAGTATATTGGTGTATGAAAAATAAACACATTTCTTATATATTTATTGTATTTATTTTATAATGATTAATAAATATATTACCTTGAAACAAGTTCAGTTATCTTTATAATGGAAAACAAGACAAAATCCTGATTTAGATTTTTTGCAGCAATTCATAAATTTCAATGTAAAATTTCTGGTTTTCTATCAAGTGCATTTTGTTGTTTGTTTAAAGCATTTTTTAACCAACACTCTCTTTTGCCTGTTATTTAACAGAGGTCAAGCCGGTCTGCTCTCCCGCATGTGGTCTCAACGCAGTATGCCTCCCTAATAATCAGTGTGAATGTGTGCCGCCCTATGGAGGAGATGGCATCAACTGCACGGGTGGGTTATTATGAATCACATCTATTGTATTAAGAACAAGAACGATAGCTATAGGACATTGCCCTTCTGGAATGTACCACAGCTAAAGTGCTCGGAGCCAATAGAAAGACAATACAATTTTGGTTGGACCTTATTGAGACTTTATCAAGAAGTTTTTGAGATCCTTCTAAGTTTTGGTCAATTTTATTTTAATTTCTTGTCATATTTATCTATTCTATGTATTTATATTTAGTCTTAGGGTTATGGGTGATCTTGGGCTTTTTTGTAAATAGTTAAAAACACAAAATGTTTAATAAATAAAGAATCACAAAAAAAAGAATAATGGCAATAACCTGGTACCATGCTCAAAAATTGTAATGTACATTTTGTAAGTGTTTTAATAAAAGACTGGTTCATTCGTGTTAAAAAAACAATAGACAATATCATTCTGTTTATTCTAAGCACGTGCTCCAGTTATGTCGTTGCCGCTCTAAATGCTAAAGCTCTTCAAAGTATTATGGATTCTGAATGGCTGTCAATGCTTTTATCCTTCATTAGCTGGAAAACATTGTTCTAAAAACGCATATATATTCTCTGTGATGTTGTCGTTATAGTTGTGGTGTGGACTCTGCTATTCTTTTATATTTAGAACTATATCTTTATCATTATTTTTATAGTTATCGTCCTTTGTGTGAACGGGTCTTTAGACTAGAATAAGATGTAAGTCTAGTAAGATGTCTATTATGAATTCACATGTCCTATTGCCATAAACTCACTTAAGATATTAAGTGTTAGGTCTTGTTTTATGAAAAAATATATATATTAAAATTTTCCTTTATTTGCTTTCCCATCATTTTCCTTCTCAAGTAAATGTATCTTGATTTAAGAATTTTGAATTGAATTGATTAAAGAATTATTTGTAATGGAAAACGTCTCGGTTACGTATGTAACCCTCGTTCCCTGAGTACAGGGAACGGAGACGTGTCGTTGGGGAGTTCCCTGACGAATTGGGATCACGCTAGGGAGCCTAATTACCTCTGATAGAAAACGAGCCAATAAAAATTGGCATGCAATCTTTGCATTCCGCGAGCCGCCTACAAACGCGGATATAAAAGCGGAAGTAAAACATTGCATAGACGCTTTTCGCTGAGGAGCCGAACAGAGTCCAGCCCTCCGCGAAGGTACAGCAACATGGCGAAGGGACGACACGTCTCCGTTCCCTGTACTCAGGGAACGAGGGTTACATACATAACCGAGACGTTCCCTTTCGTCCTGGGAACTCCAACGTGTCGTCGGGGAGTTCCCTGACGAATTGGGATCCCTAACAAAACGCCACGGTGCTGGCCCCTTCCAGCGCCCAGCTAAGCTACCCTAAGCAGTTTCACAAATTACGGGAGCTAGCAAGGGAGTCACACTCTTTAACCTCCTAGCACCCTTAAGGAATCTGATGATCAGGTCGTGCTTCCCTACGGACTTACCTTCTACTACATCGTGATGTGCGGCTATTGCGGCAACATACACTTTGAGGGTGGAGGGAGACAGCCTTCGCTCCAACCCATCTTGTAGGAAGGAAAGCACGACTCTGATCGGGCAAGTTCGGGGGTCCTCCTGGTGGGAGGAACACCACTCGACGAATAGGTTCCACTTCAACGCATAGAGGCGCCTCGTAGAGGGGGCTCTAGCAGAAGTGATGGTGTTTACCACTGCCTGTGGTAGATCACCTAGAACCTCTGCGTCCCGTCCAGGGACCAGACATGGAGTTTCCAGAGGTCTGGACGCGGGTGCCATAGAGTGCCCCGTCTCTAAGAAAGGAGGTCCTTCCTCAGAGGAATCGGCCAAGGAGGGGCTGTCGCGAGGAGCATGAGTTCCGTGAACCAAGTCCTGGTGGGCCAATACGGCGCCACTAACAGGACCTGCTCCTCGTCCTCCCTGACCTTGCACAGTGTCTGTGCAAGAAGGCTCACTGGGGGAAACGCATACTTGCGCAGGCCCCGGGGCCAGCTGTGAGCCAGGACGTCCGTGCCGAGGGTCCCCTCGGACAGGGAGTAAAACCACTGGCAATGGGTCGTGTCCGGAGAAGCAAACAGGTCCACCTGTGCGACTCCGAAAACACTCCAGATCAGCTGGACCGCCTGGGGATGGAGTCGCCATTCTCCTGGCAGGGGAGGCAACCGTGAAAGCTCGTCTGCCACACGGTTGAGCTCCCCTGGAACATGAGTGGCGCGAAGCGACCTCAGATGCTTCTGACTCCATAGGAGGAGGTGGGAGGCGAGTCGCGACATGCGGCGGGAGCGTAGACCACCTTGTCGGTTGATGTACGCAACGGTCACAGTGCTGTCCGTACGGACCAGTACGTGCTTGTCCTTGAGAAGCCCCTTGAGGCAGCACACAGCCAAGCGTACTGCTTGCAACTCTAGGCAGTTGATATGCCAATGCAGCTGGGGCCCCGTCCACAGACCCGAGACTGCATGCCCTTTGTACGTGGCCCCCCACCCCATGGCAGAGGCATCTGTGAAAACCACAGCATGCCTGGAGACTTGGACTAGGGGCACTCCGGCCCATAGAAACGGAGGATCCGACCACGGGGAGAAGGTTTGGCGACAGTGCGGGGTTACTTTGACCCGGAACATGCCGCTCTGCCACGCCCACCTCGGGACTCGATCGTGAAGCCAGTGCTGAAGCGGTCTCATATGTGACAGGCCGAGCGGCGTTACTGCGGCTGCGGCTGCCATATGCCCCAGGAGCCTCTGAAATTGTTTCAGTGGAACCGCTGTCCTGCCTCGAAAAGACCTGAGGCAAGTGAGCACTGACTGGACGCGCTCCTCCATGAGGCGCGCGGTCTGGGCGACCGAGTCCAACTCCATACCGAGATAAGAGATCCTCTGCACAGGGCAGAGTTTGCTCTTGTCCCAGTTGACCTGAAGCCCCAACCGCCTGAGGTGCCGGAGCACCATGTCCCTGTGATCGCAAAACACCTCCCGCGAGTGAGCTAGAATGAGCCAGGCAGGAGGGACCGGCTCGATCGCGTCCTTCGCCAGCAGGACATCGATCTCTTTCTGCAGGACAGGGGCATCCACTGACCGCACACGGGTGAAGTGGACGCCCCTGAACCTGGGAGGCAGGCGTGCAAACTGAATTGCATAGCCGAACCGAATGGTGCGGATGAGCCATCGGGACGGACCCGGAAGCGCTAGCCAGGCTTCCAGGTACCGACCCAATAAGCCCACCCGAACCACCAGCGTACCCACGGAGGGGCAGCGAGGTGGAAGGCCGGGACCCGGCTCCAGTGGCAATGTAGCCACTGGAAGCGGGGTCTGGGCGGTCCACCGTGGGGCAGACGGCAGAGAGAGCTCGTAGGCTTTCTGCTGCGGGCTGCCCCGTGGCGAGGGGAGGGGAAGAGACGAGGCACGAGGCCCTGCCTCCTCGTGAACTGGTCTCTGCCCCTCTGGGCCCAGCCGCCGACCGGAGCGACGCAACCGGGGAAGCGTCGCTGCTATCTGCAGACTGGGAAGAGGGGAACGAGAGCGATGCTGCTCGCAGACAGCATCCACCGTCATTCGGACCCTCTTGGGTGGAGGAGACTGAGTGCCCGTCAGTCTCGACCAAGGATGACCTGGAGGAGGAAGAGGAAACTGCTCTTTTATTGAAACTTTGGGTACAATTGAAACTTTGTTGAAAGTTTTATTGAAACTTTGGCGGAACAAAAACGGAATGGAACAAAATATTCTCCCGCCGGCCCTCCCCCGGGGGAAGGAGGTGTGCAGAGGCACCCTCCTGAGCAGCTCCGAAATCCTTCACCAGGTCGCCCGTCTCAGGAGCGCTTCCCTCCCGTCCTTTTACGGGAAGGGGCCGGGGGTGTCTGAGCGGGCTGGGCCGCCCTCTTGCGACCAGACTTCCTCACTCCAGAGGTGGTAGGCTGCGCTGGAGGAGGAGCTGGCGCTTGAGGGCGACCTCGGCGACGGGAAGCAGCCGGGGCTTGTACAGCCACAGGAGACGGACCCGCAGCAGGTCGCCTCCTATGCAGGACATGCCGTATAGCCTCCGACTGCTTCTGGGCGGTGGAGAACTCCTGGGCCAAGTTCTCCAACGCGTCGCCGAAGAGGCCGCCCTGGGATACGGGGAAGTTGAGAAGTTTGTTCTTCTCCGCTTCCCTCATATCAGCCAGGGTCAGCCACAGGTGGCGCTCCTGGACCACCAAAGTGGACATCGCCCGACCCAGCGAACGTGCGGCGACTTTCGTTGCCTGGAGGGCGAAGTCCGTCGCCGCACGCAGCTCCTGCAGCAAAGCTGGGTCGGGACCACCCGCCTGCAAGTCATGGAGTGCTTTAGCCTGATGGACTTGGAGCAACGCCATGGCATGCAGGGCGGAAGCGGCGTCTCCACACGCCATGTAGGCATTCCCGGTCAGACCAGAGGAAAACCTACAGGCGCGGGAGGGGAGTGAAGGGGCATCCCGCCAGGAGGAAGCGGTCTTCGGACACAGCTGCATCGCGATAGACCGCTCCACTGGGGGGATTCCCTCGTACCCGTGCGCTGCTCCGCTGTCCAGAGTGGTAAGGAAGGAGGAGCGAGGTTGTCTCCGCCTGTACGCCAGAGGCGCCGACCAAGACTTCCTCAACTCCTCATGCAGTTCCGGGAAGAAAGGGACCGGAGCGGGTCGTGGGGCAACAGCACGGTCCGCTCCAAGACACCAATCATCCAACCGCGAATGTTCGGGACCCGGCGGAGGGTTCCACGCGAGCCCGACATTCGCGGCCGCCCGTTCGAGCATAGCGGCCATTTCCGGATCTGGCTCAGCCTGAACCACCACACCCGAAGGGGGCAGTCCCGCCGAGTCATCACCAGAAGATGACCGCTCTTCGCGATCGACATCTGATCCTCAGGTGGCGCCCCGAAGGAAACAACCGGAACCGCCCGAGGGGCTCAGCGAATCCTCATTCGCTCACCAACAGGAATCACCGAAGTAGCCGCCTGCCGAACTGAACCGGCAGACGAACTAGAACGAGGATTCTCTGAAGGGACTCCCCCATGTTTCAGGGTTCTCAGTCCCGAACGTAGCATCGCCAGAGTCATATTCCTGCAATGAGAACATGACTCGTCCACGAACGCTGCCTCAGCGTGCGCTAAGCCCAGACACGTGAGGCAGTGTTTGTGGCCATCAGCCTGAGGGAGAAGTCGACCGCATCCAGAAACGCACGAGTGTGACGACATCCTGAAAAGGACGCGAACACACCGTGGAGCTCTTTTAGAAGGAAAAGAAAAAAAATAAAAATAAAAAAGAAGAAGAAGCACTCTGAAGCGCCGAAGCACCGAGGGATCAGCGCGGCAGACACTTCCGGGTGAAACTGCAAGCGTTGCGTTGATCACACAAGCGCCGTCACACCAGCAGCCGTCAGAAGTCTTCTTCCACCAGCTCGTTTCTCTTCCAAAGGTAAGGAACAGCAGCACACAGACACTGCTGAGAGGCTCCGAAGAAAAAAGCGTCTATGCAATGTTTTACTTCCGCTTTTATATCCGCGTTTGTAGGCGGCTCGCGGAATGCAAAGATTGCATGCCAATTTTTATTGGCTCATTTTTAATTCTATCAGAGGTAATTAGGCTCCCTAGCGTGATCCCAATTCGTCAGGGAACTCCCCGACGACACATTGGAGTTCCCAGGACGAAAGGGAACAAGAAGTGTACACATTCGTAGTCTTATTGTGGATGCTTCCCAATTAATAAAATCAAATTTCATCCTGCATACTACATACTTTTTTTTTTAGCTCCGGATCTTTGCAGTGAATATAACGGAGGCTGCCACGGAGAAGCAGACTGTTTGCAGACCGGTATCAACATCAACTGTTCCTGTCGGACCGGATACTCTGGAGACGGACGCATCTGCGTGCCCATCAACCGATGTGTAGAGGAGGCCAACGGTGGCTGCAGCGATTTCGCAGAATGCCTTTTCACCGGACCTGTACGTGGAACTTTTGCTTTTCATTGTTGTTATTTGGCGAGAGCTATTAAAGTTCAACTAAATGTGTAACATTTACCTTGTGGCAGAACAAGAGGCGCTGCGAATGTCTCACGGGGTACGTGGGAAACGGAATCCAGTGCTTGGAGAAAGTGGTGCCCCCTGTTGACCGCTGTCTGGAGGACAACGGCGGCTGCGACCCCAAAGCGATGTGCAAAGACCGTCATTTCCACAGTATGATTTTTACAATTAAAAAAGTAAAAAAAAAATATTTAAGGCAATACACAAAGCTTGGTGTATGTAAGTGCTGCTGAAGTGGAGATTTCTGACTCACGGCTTTTAAAGATGTGTATTGTAACTGAAATCTACTGACAGAAGTGTTTTAATTTCACTGATCTGAAAATTGTCCAAATAGCCCAAAATCTCAAAATTGACCAATGCATGAAACAATGCTTTTTCCTGTAGTGTCTTACATACACTACAAAGGCTTTCGTTCTTGCTTTTCAGCAAAAACTGCAGGTGTTTTCCACCTGCGCTCTTCTGAGGGGAAGTATAAACTGGATTTCATCCGAGCACAGGAAGCTTGTAAGGCTGAGGGAGCCACTCTTGCTACGTTCTCGCAGCTGTCTGATGCGCAACAGGTGACATTTGACCCCGACTTACGACTGCACACATCCTGCATTTACGGTGTCGAAACAGCAACAGCTTTTGAGCTTAAGGTGCCAAACAATATCGCTGCCAAAAAAGGTCTATTGTCAATGTATGAATCACAGCTCACACGTCAAAGTCACTTTCAAACCGAGCAGCTTTCTGCAGTGAATTCACATGACCAACTTGAATATGAGCGAAAACTGCATGGGGAACCATTTCGCCCTCCTGCGAAACTCCTATTGAAATTGAATTTCGCTCGTGTAAATGGTAAATGTGATGCAGCTTTACACAGCGGTTCTGCAAACAAATTTGCACTCATTTGTTTTGGGGGGGGGGGTTTTCAGTAAAAAAAAAAATCTAAATATTTATTAAATCATACATTTGCGTGTTAAGTTAAATCAAACTTTCAAAATTTTGAATAAATAAATCTTTGATGATGTTTTTCTCCATCACTAGTCAATTGATTTTCTAAAATAAATCTCATACAATTTTGTTAAATTCAACAGTTAGTTAATTATAAAATAAAGCTTTTTTTTGTGTTCTTTCCATTAATCAAAGATCACATTTCCACAAAAATATTAATAGTTTTCAAACATTGATAATGACAAATGTTTCTTGAGCACCAAATCATATTAGTATGATTTCTGAAGGATCATGTGACGGTGAAAACTGGAGTAATGGCTGGATAATTTCCATTATAAAATAAAGCTTTTCTTATTGTTCCAGTTGGGAATGCATCTATGTGTGGCAGGATGGATTGACGGGAAGAAAGTGGGCTATCCGATCCGGTTTCCCTCTGCTAAATGTGGAGACAATCAAGTCGGTATTGTGTTGTACAAAGACCCAGTCGACGCCAGTTGGCCGTACGATGCGTACTGCTACAGGATGAATGGTCAGGAAATGCTTCTAATTTAAAATGTAATTTAACATTTTACAGAATCTAAACAGTCTTGATGTGAAATGACGGCCATTTTTCTCTTATACAGAGGTGTCTTGTGAATGTGGACCTGGATACGTTGGAAGCGGGGGATTCTGTAATGGAGACTTGGCCTCGGTTGTTGCCTCCACTTCCAATTTTTCAGTGTTTTACACAGTAAGTGACCTCAGACTACAGAAAACAATGTCGCGTTTACAATGTTTACTGTGCATCACCGTAAACTCAAGTATTTATACTACTGTTCAAAAGTTTGGGGTTTTCTGACTGAAATTAGTACATTTATTCAGCAAGGACGCATTATCATTCACATATCATTTTAATTTTAATTTTAAATTACAACTTATATCTTTTGATTAATTACCCAAAGGCAAGAAAATTCAAAGGAGGGAAATAAAGCGCTCAAGTAAGTCAAAGAGGAATTTGATCAAATAGGATGAATGTTTTTGGAATCCAGCTTACAAAACATCACAGAATTCACTGAATCCATTGCTAAAACTTACAGATGTTTGTGCTGTTGTTACCCTTCCAAAATAATGCCACTTCCTGGAGGATGATGTCATCAAGGAACTGGCTTTTCTAATTAAAAGCAAAAGACTAACAGGATGGAAAGCGGATGGAAAACATATTCCCAAAAAAACATTTTGTTTTTAATAATTTTGGTTAAAGAAATGAAACATTCAGCAATGAAAAACAACTGAAGTGAATAGATTTCATGTCACTCAATTCCTGCCAATAGAAATTAAGTAATATATTCAACAAGGAACATTCCTCTAATTTCATAACAATGGAGTCATGTTTCCTGTCGGTTTCCTTCTACAGACTTTACTGAAGTACGCCGAGGATGGAGAGGAGGGCAAGAACCTGCTGAAGTCCTTGTCCGACAAATCATTAAACATTACAGTTTTTGTACCTCGTAACGGCGGTTTCTCTGTAAACAAGGTGATTGTCAATATAAGCCAAAAAGAATTCTCATTTGAACATTTTTGTAAGTGTGGATGAGTCAGAGAAAACTAAGAGGAAGAAAACTAACAAAGAAAGGAGGAACCATTTGGACACACTCATTCTCTGCTGGCTTTGATTCAGTTTGTGTCCTTTTTCAGACTTTATCATGGAGGGATTTGCAGTATCATATATCTAGCATCAATAGTCTTCTCTACTACGAGGACATGAAGCACAACACTGTAATCCCGTCTCGCCTGGGCTCCGACCTCATTGTAACGATTCCCTCCAATTCCACCAGTCAGGCCGAGGTAAACAAACCCACGCAGCTTTACACCGCTTAGGGATCACTTTCTAGACAATGTCAAGCAATCTGAATGTTTTATTGGTTTCCACAGAACTCTCAACCCCAAAAACTGGTGAATAAGAAGCTTATATTGGACTGGAACATTCCAGCCATCAATGGTCTGATCCATGTCATAGATGGGCCTTTGAGAGCTCCACCTGTTCCAGTAAGTGGCCACTTTTGTATGAGTACAATGGAGCATATTGGAGAACTGCTTTGCTGTATGGATGTACAGGCAGAATTCATTTAGAGGATCATGAATAATTGCATTAACACCAATGGTTTAGATTGCAGCAGTTGTGTTTTGCACTTCTCATCAATCCACCCAAGCATCCATCCATCCATCCATCCATCCACCCGCCCACCTGTCCATTCCTCTATTTATCCATCCATCCTCCCACCCACCCATCCATCCATCCCTCTATCCAGCCACCCACCCACCCATCCATCCCTCTATCTATCCACCCACCGATCCATCCACCTGTCCCTCTATCCTTCCGTCTGTCCATTCTTAAATTTAATCTCAAAATATCTAAAATTTCACCAGACTAGCTAAAGCAAGTCAACATCCTGTTTGCCATAGTATTAGTAGTAGACATTTACATTTATGCATTTGGCTGACACTTTTACCCAAAGCGACTTACATTGCATTTTCAAGGTACACATTTATACATTCTTATCAGTTCTTGCTTTCCCTGGGAATCGAACCCATGACCTTGACATTCCAAGCGCCAACGCTCTACTGTTTGAGCTACAGGAAAGATGGTTCTGCAGGGGGTACTGTCTAGTAGACATAGTAGTAGACAGCCATGCATAGCTTTGACAAAATCTAGACCCCACAAATAAATTCTCAATCAATATTTTTTTTATTATAAAAGTCGTTAATGGTGTTACGTACAGTAAAATTTACAATCTAATTTTCAGGTGCCAGCAGTCCTTCCAATCTCACAGTCCAGCGGTGTCGCAGTGACCACTGTGCTGATTATCCTCGCCATTGTTGGGATTGTCGCTGGGTTTGCATACTATTTCCTCAAGCACAAGAATGATGCCTTTCGCTTCCAGTACTTTAAGGTAAGTTGGCGTAATGGAGCTTCAGATATTTATCTTGACTTGACAAAGACACTTTACCGTTGCACAAACTTGACCTAAATGTCTGACTCTAATTCTACTAGTTTTCTAGCTAAATAAAACTGTCTGTCTGTCTGTGTTATATCTATCTATCTATGTATCTATCTATGACTGTGCGGATGAATTTGACCCTTCACGACAGATAATGCGTTACAATGAAATCTGTCAGAGAGCTACATATGGCAATTTATCTGTTTAATAAATTACTTTACTCACCTGTTAAGTAATAAAAATTACATCTCCGCGTTGCTTTCACAACATTTCAAATCCCTCAATTCTCGCCATCTCCAAAAAGCCAAGCAAATAATGATTATGGTTGAAGATTAATGAGTGTAATGTCTTATTTATCGTTAACAGAATGATGATGAAGATGGTGCTTCCTCCAAAGGTGGTGGAAACCCTGCTTTAGTATCCATCCCAAACCCTTTATACAGCGGCCACAGGGCATTTGCAGAACCATTTGGGGTAAATATAGAAAAACTTATGTGCTTGCAATTATTTGACCATTTCTACTGGTCAAACACATTTGTAGATGAGTTATCCTTATCTATATTTGTTTGTTTCAGGATTCAGCCGCTACAGACACACCCAACCTCCTCGACTAGCACAGACAGCAGCGTCGACCTCCTCTCCTTTTGTTTACCTGCTATCAGTCAACTACTACAGACTACTTGGCTGGAGGAAGTTGCCACAACACTTTTCTATATGGTTGAACCTAAAAATAAAAGACCCTAATTACGTCCTAGACAACATAAGCCTACCGTGCTGCTTTCAGTTCAATAAAGACATCTGGTAAAAACACTGGGTACATTTGTTAGTTTACCTGTCCTGTTGTTTTTGAGAGGGTTCTCTACTTGGTCAATCGTGAAGAAAATCAACTGTCCAGGGACTAAAACCTGGGGTCTCATTAATGTCTCCAACTGCAATGCATAATCCCAAAGGTCTTGTTGACATAATAGAAGGGTATTTTTGTCTTGTATGTTCACTCATATTGCTGGCAACTGAAGCATAACGCAGGAGGGAGAAGAGTGACAATTCCCCAGAGGAAACGACCACCTGTTCATACTACTTGATGGGAAGTCAACATCCTTTATTTTTGCCTGCAATGGATTGGAAAAGATAAAATTGGTCAGATAAAAAAAAAGTCCACGTTTTGATTTTAGTGTGGGATTTCAGGTTTTTTAATGGCAAAACAAGTTAAAATGTTCAGGGTTTTGAACTGAGATAAGTGTACATTTTAGACTTTAGTTGAATTCAAATTTTATGTTGCGGTTTTGGCAGATGCTTGAAAGCAAAGACGAATCACAACCGAGTGTGTATTTGAATTTAAGAAAGTAGACCAATCTAGAATTTTTTAAAACATAGTCTCAAAAACCACAAATAAATAATGCACTTATACAAAAATTACGTACAAAATATAGTTTAAAACGAGTGTGTATGTTAAGCAGTTCAAGCTGAATTATTCCTAAATGTTTTTTAAAAAAAAGATAGTGTTTGATTAATTGTATGGATGATATGTTTGATTAATATCAATGCAGCACTGCCTTGCAAATACTGAAGTAATAATTTGGTACATCAATCATTGGCAGTAAGTGTGTTAAGCCTCATACAGGGAGCTATTTTTGGCAAGCAAAAACAGACCTAACAGCTATATACAGTTTTGAACGGACTGTGGTGATAAACAACTTCAAAAAGATCATACAACAATGCATTGACTATTCTGAGGTACATTTTCTTTGCTAATTTCTGTGATTTGGGAAATATCCCAAGGGCTTTAGGACCCAGGGGCTAATGAGGACTGCAGTGTATTCATAGCTGGGCTTTTCCTCCACCATTCTTCCAGTTCCACTCCTTTCCCAACCCCCCATTTTCATCGCGCTCTTCCGCAACAAAGCAGCGACACCCATCCCCACTCTAGACAGAGAGGCTTCTGGGTCACACACAAATCTGTCATGTCACACCTTTCATTGTGTTTGCTTTGAAATGTATGAAAGGAGGAGACTATAACGTAGTCAAGGTGGCATGTGGTGTTTGTCTGTGAAAGCTAACACGTTTTAAAGTAAACGTGGAGAGGTGGCCAGGTATTGGAGAAGAAATGCAGCTTGCTGACTTTGAGTGAGACAAATCAAAATACACCTGTTGTTCAGCGAGCAAATATCAAGTTCGGACAGCAAAACAAAATGGCAAAAGAAGAGTTATGTAGAAGTACGAGCACCACATTGAGCAAAGAAGTTTTAAAAATCTAACTCGCATCTACAAAATCATGCAAACGATGATCAGTATCGTTTTCAAAACAACATAAAATAATTTTCTGTACATAGCTAAACTACATTTGTTGTTACATTGTCTAACCGTTCTTACGTTTAGCCATCAGTTTCTATGAATGTGGCCAGAATTGGCTGTCGACCAAAACCACATGCCCAGAACAGACATCCCAGAGGCCTTCGGGAGCCGACAAGAGGCGCACATCAGCTCCAAAGTTGCAGTCCTTTCAATAATTCAGCAATCTGTAGTTATGTTATGCCAAACAGAGTTCCTCAAATGCCAAAGCGATAAGACCAGAAGATTGGCCTTGTATTGGTTTGGTGGACTTGGTTCACTTCCCTACATAGCCTATTTATTGTGTGACAGTGTTAACCTGTTATTTTTAGAGCTTCAAGAATGATGTTTAAAACCAGGATTTATTTTTTTAATTATCTGTCTAGCCCAAAACACATCTTTGAGTCCAAACAATAAGTCCTTGTGACAGGAAACTTGTCGCACCCCAAGTGGGAATGCAAGCGCTTATGTAATTAGATCCATTCTTTTAGCAAAACCTACTTCTGCGAAATAATCGCAATTATTTTTCCCAAACCAGTTAAACGCAAACCCTGCCCCACAGCCAATTCAAAAGATTTCATTGGTCAACTCAATCAGAAAACCCCTAACCTAAACCCAAATATTAACCCTAATATAGCATTGGTACGCCTCCTGATATATCTATCAGCTATCGCATTACTGTGCTGAGTCATCCCTTAAAGACTGAACTTTTATTGATGGGTGATTGCTTGATTGAGTTTACCAATGAAATCCACTGTGGAGTGGGGTTTACGCTTAACTGGTTTGGGAAAATAGTCGTCTAACGCTAGTTTCCCGATTGGAATGACACCAGAGCAGGAAGATTGAACCGAACTACATATAAGTAGAGGTTATGGCTACTATTATGGCTGAAACTTAAATGAATGAGTTATTTTCATAAGCTTTGGTACACCCAAGAAAGTTCCAGTTTCTTGGTTACGGAGGCCTGGATAACATGTGCTAGAAACATTCTATCAAAGTGAGGCGCTATCATGCATTTCATGCTCTGGAAAAAATTGAGACCACTGCAAAAGTTTCTCTGGATTTACTATTTATATGTTTGAGTAAAATAGAAACTACTGACAACATTTCTTCCAAAGTTGAAATAATTTTTTTGTTATTATTTAGAGCTTTTTTTCTTTTTACAGAAAATTATAACTGGTCAAATTAACAAAAATATGCCATGTTTTCAGACCTTGAATAATGCAAAGAAAACAACACGATACTAACGTTTTCACTTAGGAAGAGTTCAGAAATCAATATTTGGTGGAATAACCCTGATTTCCAATCACAGGTTTAATGCTTTAATGCTCTCTATCAGTTGGTCACATTGCTGGCGACTTAATGCCACTCCTGGCACAAAAATCCAAGCAGCTCGGCTTTGTTTGATAGCTTGCGACCTCTATCCCTCTTGATTAAGTTCCAAAGGTTTTCAGTGGGGTTCAGGTCTGGAGTTTGGGCTGGCCATGACAGGGTCTTGATCTGGTGGTTCTCCATCCACACCTTGATCGGCCTATGTGGCATGGAGCATAGTGAAACTTGGGGGAGAATTGGTTGATGATCTGGGGATTTTCAGTAAGGCTGGAATCGGGCAAATCCGTCTTTGTGAAGGATGTATGACTCGAGCCAAGCAAAAGGTTATCCTGAAAGAAAAATTGCTTCCTTCTGCTGTGACAATGTTCCCCAACTCAAAGGATTTGTTTTTCCTACAGGACAACGCTCTATTCCACACAGCCAGGTCAATGAAGATGTGGATGGAGGACCACCAGATCGAGACCCTGTCATGGCCAGCCCAATCTCCAGACCAGGAGTCTCATTTATAAAACTGTGCGTAGGATCCTTACTAAAAACGTATGTGCGCCGAAAGCCAAAAATGTCGTATGGTAAAAAATATTCAGACTTATAAAACCGTGCATACGCCAGAACCTGCGCAAAATTCCCTTTATAAATCCCAGTCAGCGAAATATTGTCCTCCCCGAAATAACCATATATGGAGCTTACAAGGCCTAGTTTTGCTATGCATCTGCATATCATTTGCATATTCATATTCATCCACGTGATACCATGTTTAACGGTAGAAAAATATCAGATGCGGATTTGCCGTCGCATTACATTGCTAAAAAATTATTTAGTAGCCTATCCTTGCCTTGTTTTTGAATAAATAAATCAAATAATATAAAATACTTTCCAGACAACGTTTTTCTCAATCTTTTCCACTGGCCAAATAGTATTTTTAATTGATTTATATTTTAATGGAAACAGATAGGCCTTATTGTGCAATATTTGCACAAAAATATTTTCTCAGACAATTTGCTATTATCATGATAAGCAATCCTCTCTGTAATTAAACATTAAAACACAGCATGCCACAGAAAAAATGTTCGAAACCATTGCATCCACTACAAATATGTCTATTCCTTAGAAAATAAACAAATGTTGTAACTTCTCAGTAATGGTTTCATGTAATTGAAGTGTTTAACTCCATTGATGACGATGGTATATTTAATTAAAATGTTTATATCAGATGTAAAACATAGTTTAAACATTCTTTTATTTATTTAAACTGTTATTGTAAACATGCACACTGTATTTATGATTATGACTCATAATGAAGATTTACAGTTTGTTTCCTTCATCTGCCGTTAGATCAGCTTCACTAAACGGCCTCACGCGCTCGCTAGCGCGGACATTTAAGAAGGGATGGGTGTTAGCTTCATGTGATGCTTGGGGAGTGAAATTATATTTGTATTATCTTGCTGTATATGTATAATTTTCTTAAAATGTTCGGTCTAAAGGTGACCAAAAAGTCATTAACTCCAGCTCACCATCGGTGTCGCCAAACTGTGCCATCTCCAAATGTTCGTACATGGGTCAGAGTTTGTGTGAAGGTGCGCAAATTTTCCCAACAAGATTGTTTTTATAAATCACAACTTATGCGTCGGAAGTGGTGTAGCCTATGCCTCTTTCAGGGCATGTTTTGTGCGTATGCAACGGTTATAAATAAGGCCCCTGAACCCTACTCAAAACCTCAGGAATGTGATCAAGAGGAACATGGAAGGCCACAAGCCATCAAACAAGCCGAGCTTCCGGCCCAGATCCGGCCCACATCTGGTGCACGTGGATTCCACAGATCTGGGCCAACACTATGTTGCAGTCTTGGGCTCTTATGTTTTTCCAGAGCTGTATATTTTACAGTGTTTGATACTGAGACAGCAATTCATATTATTCTCATTCCAAACGACTTGGCCTCAAGAATTATTGGTGTTAATCAAATCATTCCTTTTGCATCTTATATTATTTGCCACAATGTACAATCATGGTAAACATGGAAATATTTGCATTTTTCTTTTTACAAACCTTCATTTGTTACATCTAAAAAAAATGCCTTTAAAGACCCTACAGTGAATTCCAATTATTGCTTCTAGCAGCTTTATTTTAATCTGGCAAGACTGGCATTTCTCCAAATTCACATGCCAAGACCAGAAAAGCCAGTGAAATGGAGGCCACCAAGTGGCCTATGGCAACTTAAAAGAAACTGTGGTCCTCCATGACAGATGGTTGAAATAAAACACAAGGTAACACATGCCCTACGCATTTCACAAATGTAGAAGAAAGCCTTTGTTGAAAGATATCGCATCATGGGTGGAATTTGCCCAATGGCACGTGAAAGATTCAATGTCATTCAAGCTGAAAAATTCGAGATACTGAAATGTTAAACAAAGACTTAATGGTGTGATGAGACCAGACTTTTCAAAACGTTCATGCTTTGATGGCAAGCACTACGTTGGTTGATTTTGTGAGCAGAATGGTGGTAGAACATCATGTTTTAGGGCTGCTTCTTTTACAAGGCTGGAAAATGAATGGACCAAAAGACAAATTATCCTGGTGGAAAATCTGCTGCCTTTTACAAAAGCACTGGGAAGAATAAGATGGTTCATCTTCTAACACAATTAAATTCCAACTTGGGGTTTGAGATTTATTGTAAAATATATATTTTTATGGATTCACTAAATTGCAGTGCTTTTTGGCACATGAAAGTTTGCCTAAACCCTTTATTGCGGCAAAACACGTTATTTTTTTTTTAAATATACTTATAATCAGAATAAGCAATTCATCAGCCAACTAACATCTGCCAAGTTCATTAGCCAAACATTAAGTATTTATGGTTGCCAAGCAACTTTGCATAGTAATATACAATTCAATTTGTGCAATCTGGTGTGTATATTAGATATTTCAAAACTGCTTTTAGAGCAGGAACTACATTTCATTTTTCATTGCCCATAACATTATGCAACCATGACCAAGCCTGCTAAAACAGCTAATGGAGATATCAAAATTACTAAATTTTTGATTTGATGTTGCCCTGTTCACACTGAGACCCCAGTAATCCACACCAAACATTTCTCAAACATATTTTAATTCACAACTCGATAACAGTAACTAAAGATACAACACTGACATTTACAGCTTTTGAGTGTCACAGATTCAACTGGATGGAAATAAAAACTGAATAACATGAAAATAAATTCTGCTTGTACTTTGCACCGTGGATGAAAGATTTTTAACAGGACCAATATTTTCGTTAACTCACGATTTAAATCGCGAACAAATTTTAAACGATTGCCTTGTGGCACCAATAAACTGCTGCATTGCCATAATCTACTTTAGCTTGGGGAAGAAAAAAAGAAAAAAGTATAAACCAAATGGTATTAGGCGTTGCAGAATGCTAACTTCAATCTCACGCATCTCTTCCTCCTCTTGTGCATAAGAAGCAAATTTCCATCCTGTTGTGCCTTGCTCTATGCACATAAATCATGAACATCCTCAACAAATGAAACCTGGTGAGACAGAAAATTGACATTAATAAAATATCTTGAGCAAGACTTAATGGACAACCTGAATGCATTTTGCCTTCTCCAATAAGATACTACCATTAGAAGTCGCTTTAATTAGTGCTGGATCAAGACCACTGTATTGGAGATCAATCTGGTTAAACGTGTAGAAGGCAATCAAGATGGCAACAATTTAACAAACAGAAACATGGACCAACCAACTCCTGGATGTATGGAATGAAAGATATATATAATTAACTACAGGATTAAGGACAACAACATATCCTATTCAAGTGTTTGAGGTACGTTCAATCAATGGACAGGCAAGTCCACTGCTTGACAGGATGCTGAGAACTCAGAAAATGAAGCAACTTTTTTTTTCAATTCCTTGTGTTCATGGCACCAACACAACTTTGAAGAAATGAAATACCAGGGTTGGCACATTAAAATAAAAATTTGAGGAATTTATGAGTAGTGGATTGCAGAATGAAACAAGTACGTTGAGAAGGAAAGAGTACAAAGATTCAGTTATTTTTCACTCTTCTCAAAGAATAAGGCCATTTATTTTGCCCTGAAATTAAATTAATATTCAAAAAAGTGCCCCCAAATTGAACATGTTAGAATCTAAACTAAAAATATCATATGCAGTCTATGCCGGCAGACTAACATTACAAAACTGGTGATGTCAAAAAAAAAAACCTGGGCAACATTGACATCAACAGGATCGAAGGATGTAGAAAACAAAGACAAACTTAGTTTAGGCTATCATTGTCTTTTCAAGCAGTAGCATGTAATAAATCACTCTACAAATTCAGTCTGTTCCCATTATCCAGTAAGACAGCAGTCCATGCCCACAATATTCCAACAAAAGGAGCACTCTGGGAACTGCATAGTCATAAATAAGGGTTTGTTCATCAGTCCAATCCTTCAGAAGTTAGATAAAAAAATACAAAAAAAGTTTGGGATGTGTTGGGGAAACAAAATACTGTGAGAGCAGGAAAAAAAGCATCCCATCTTTGGATTATGATGTCAGTAACTACTTGACGATAATTGCAAAATTTGGAGGTAACTGTAATGCTCCCATCCAGAGTTAACCTAGGGTTCGTTTCCAAAAAAATGCAACTCTGCAAAACAAGAAAACTTAACAAAAGAGGAAACAAAAACAAATCCCCAGCAAAAGTCTATACAGAGTCAAGAAGGGGATGGATCTGTATCACAGGCGACAAGTTAACTTGCAAGATTTTCTGTGCCTTCCTCCTCACCTCCTCGTCTGTGACAGAATCGTCGACTTTTATAACCTTCCACTCGAGACCATTGCCATTCAGTCTAGAAACGTCTTGTCCATTGGTGAGTGTCGACTGGGACCAGTTGAAGCTTTGAAAATGGAGTCTCCTCACTGAACCATTGTCTAGACCACTGGTCATCACATCAGGTTTACCTGACACCATTCCGATGTTCTTATAAATGCTACCATCTTTAAGACCAAACCCATTTTGACAGACTACTGGGGCAGAGTCTCCAATAAGGGCATCATCTACTTTGAACGGACATGACAAAACGCGTTTGTTGTCCAAGGCAACTACGTTTGATGTCTGACTTCCATTTTCTGTGGGAGAGTACGGAATTCCAGAGCGATCCGGTGGCCGTCCCACAGCAAAACTGGGTGCGCTTTTCGAATCAGCACCAAAGTGAATTTGCAGCCTTGCTGTGTGGCCTCCGCTCAACCCCTTTATGTTTGTTAGCTTGAGGCACTGCTGCGCTTGAACAGAATGTTTATCTAGCATTGCCGTTGCAACATTCTGCTTAAGACGGTCCACCGAGAGATTGGTAAGCAGAATCTTGGGTTGGTTTTGGAGAATGTCCTTTGCTGCTCTACTGAGCATCGAGTAATTCACATCCTTGGTCTTGCTCAAACCTTTCCGTCCTCGCTTCTTGCAAGGTTTCTGCACCTTCTGAACCTTGCTGCCAATCTTGGAAGATATTGGCTCTGTGGTGCAAGACGTGTATCCGTACACATCTTTGCTCCTCAAAATTACAGGCTTGGCTCCTTCTTTCCTCAGCTCTTGAAGAAAGGACATCATTTGTCTCTCAGTGTTTGACAGATCCTTGGACATGGGGTTAAAGACCCTCAGGGCCTCTTCAAGGGCAGTGTGTCCAGCTGGGGCAAATCTGGCCCAGGAATGGACTACCCTCCCCATGCCCTGCTCTTCAAAATTCATGGTGCACCTTCACAGCTGGTATGCATAAGGACTTCAGGTGTCTGTGAATACGAAAAGGATATGGTGATGATTTACAGATGCACATATGAATTACAGTTTAAAAAACTTTTAAAGGTAGTGTACATTTTAAAGGTGAAGTATGAATTCTGCAAAAATTAGCACCAAATGGATTAGCAAAAATACATGACTGTTTTCAAACAGGTTTCCCAACTGCAGTACCATCACAAACACAATGTGCCAATGTTGATATGTTGGGCTACTCAAACAAAGAACAGTTAACATTCTTCTGTAAAACAGCAACAAAATGTTTAGCAGTTTCTGCACATAAAAGATTAAGTGTGTTTTATTAAAACAGTAGAAGTTCAACTGGGTTGGCCATAACATATCAGCAGACGTTTCAGACAAGCATTTTGGATTGTATCTTAGATGTAGAGCTAGATTTAAACTACTCCCTCTAAAACATCCAACTCAGTTTTGACTGTTTTTGTTAGGTAAAACACTGTTTTACTGTTTAGACGCAAAATTGGCTATTTTGGGTCTAAACAGTACCATGACTCAACTAGATACAACATCCTGGTTTTCAGTTTGGACAGTTTTGTGTGGTTAAATGTAGCTACTTTCATCCTAAAATGCTTTGACGCGAAATTAATGTAAACAATCAGTTGTATCTTAAGGGATTTAAAAGACAAACCTCATCTTATATTTCACAAGAGATCTGTGCATTGGTGTGAATGCAGCTTATCGGATCTCCCGCTGTCTATTTCATCATTAAAAATAAAACAACAATAAAGACAAGAAAGAGAAAAATCACTCACAGCTCTTGAAAGGAAAACGTTCAGATATACTCTAAAATACTGAGAGCACTCTTTGTTTATTGCGTGTAATATGTTCTTTGTTCCTCTTTTTTTACTAGCTTTTATGTTTTGAAGCTATATTAATTTATATCAGCCATTTAAAATTCTTAACATGCAATTGTTTTAATTTATTTTTTAATGTGTAATCATTTTAAAAAGTACTTTTAAATACATATGTAATAAAATGTAAAAAATTCTTTTAATGGTTTTACTAATAAGATTTTGTAATAAGAATAACAAGTAGATCAAGTATCGGATCATGAGGTCCCTAAAGATTCCCACCCCTACTAGGCAATACAATGATTTATTGCTTGTCTTTGTTGAATAATACAGAAGATAAAGAGCTAAAAAAAAAAAAAAAAAAAAAAAAAAAAAATCCCAATCGCAATATTGGTAAAAAGAAAAAAAAGAAAAATCACAATTAGATCATTTTCCAAAATCGTTCAGCCATAGTTACAATGCAGCATGCATTAGATTAGAACGTGTCTCGTGGAGCACTCTCAGAGTATGCATTTATTTGAAATTTTAACTGGTTGAGATTTCTTATCCTGTTGCGCCCTCTATAGACCATAGTCAACGTCAAGCTTAGTGTCATGGCAGAGCATTAAAGTAGACTAGTCTATGCTAACCCTACGGTGCATTCCTATAAATTAAAAAAAAAAATGCTGTAGGACCACTGTCCTGAAACGACAACCGGTGCTTTACAGTGTCAAGACAGAAAGAATAGCAAGTTTAATTTTTTTCCATGATGTTGACCAATAATAGCACAGAAGCTCTTCCATACACAGCTTTCAAACAATGCGAAACAAGAGACACTATGATATTGGTGCTGCTAGGTGGAATTATACAATAGAGGAAAGGTTCATTGAGCTATGGGAACAGTACTCCTGCCTTTATATTTTCTCAAGGGAGTACCACGACAGAGTGAAAAAAGAAATGCTGGCGAATAGCGGAAGCACTGCAATAACCCGGTGAGTACTGAAATTAGCACTAAGCTAGTACAAACATTGTTTGTTAATGCTCGTTTCCGAAAGTCAGTTGCTAGTTCCGCCTTTAAAGACATTACGCACATCGTTAAAGACGGCAAGCGATGACTGGTCGGCAAGCAACGTGTAAAGCCCAATTTATAGTTCTGCGTCGAACTCACGCCGTAGCTACGTCGTAGGCTGTGTGTAGCGCGCGTACCCTGACGTGCACCTCTCCAAAAATGTAACAACGCTTCAATTCTACACGGACGCAAGCGCTGTGATTGATCTGCTAGAACCACTCCCCGGGTTTCACATGCTCCCTCTGCATGTGTAATTGCGTGTCAACGACGCAGAAGTATAAATGAAAACCAACGTGTAGTCTATAGCGTAGAGGCTCCGGCGTAGGTCCGACGCAGAAGTATAAATCAGCCTTAAGTCTGACATTTTTAAAAAACATAACATTTCTTTTCACTGCTTTGCTGATGATGTTCAAATTTATTTGCCTGTAAAAAAACAATGAGAAGGATAATCTCCAGCCTTTGCTGAACTGCTTGAGTGAACTAAAAATTTGGTTGGATCAGAATTTTCTCTCTCTAAATGATAATAAGACTGAAATTGTTGTGTTTGGTCGTGCGGTACATTTTAATGTCTGTGTAGATGCTCTTGGTATTTTAGGATCACATGTTCGACCTTTTACCAAGAAACTGGGTGTGATTTTTGATAATGCTTTTAAATTTGATAAACAGATTAGTTCAGTTGTTAAAACCATTTTTTCCCAGCTGAGGCTTCTGGCGAAGGTCAAGCAATACCTGCTACGCAAAGACTTTGAAAAAGTCATACATGCTTTTATTATGTCCCGTTTAGACTACTGTAATTCTTTGTATGTTGGATTGGAGCAGTCATCCCTTCGTCGGTTACCCCCAATTTCCACCAACTGCGGAACGGCTGCGGATCCGCTCAGGAACGGCGGCGGAGTCAATAGGTTTCCATTAAAGTCAATGTGTGCATTTTCACTGACTGCGGAACGGCTGCGTTCCGACTCCGTCCCAGCTCCGGCGTCCCGCAGCCCTCCGGAGAAGATACGCAGAGTTTCTATTTTTGCCGGATGCCGGAGAGCGCCGCAGGAAGTCGAGCAGAAACTAAATAAAACATCCGGTAATTTCCAAAATAAAAATATAGTTTTCACTTTTCCAACAAGAACAATAGTTAACTTTATTTACTCAGCCTACTACTTTCCCAATACATTCAAAAAGGAACCCAATTAAATAAACATTTAGCATTTTATAAGTTGATTATATTTAATTATAAATATAGTATTAGAATCACAATAATCTCCACAAAAAAGGGAGATCAGCAGGTCAGCACATAGTTGTTTCCCCTGTACTCCTCTGGATGGAAACAAACTGTTGCTGGTTTTGTGGTTCTGTTTATAGAAAGTACATCCTGTTATATCGCGCGATCAAACGTAAATTCGCGAGATATCGTGTCTCCTCGTGACTTCAGCTGTCAGTCATGGCCGCAGCCGTTCCGCAACAAATCCGTATCTGGTAGGTATTGAAGGACGGCGGAGCACGGATCCGACACGCAGCGGAGCCAATCCGCAGGCGTTCTGCAGTTGGTGGAAATCCGGGGTTACAGTTAGTCCAGAACGCAGCAGCTCGACTTCTAACCGGGACTAAAAAGCGCGACCATATTTCACCAGTCTTAGCCACGCTGCACTGGCTTCCTGTTTGTTTCAGGATTGAATTTAAAATTGTATTAATGGTTTTTAAAATTTTAAATGGGTTGTCACCGTCTTATTTAACGGAGCTCTTACATGTCCATACACCTGTCAGAGCGCTGAGGTCTTGTGATCAGTTGCTCCTCGATGTGCCCAGATCTAGGTTGAAGAATAAAGGTGACAGAGCCTTTGCAGTGGCTGCTCCATACCTCTGGAATAGTTTACCTATTCATGTAAGGAAAGCTCGGACCATTGTAACATTCAAGTCCTTGCTTAAGACCCATTATTATGCCTTGGCTTTCAATTCAAGTGATATCTTGACCTATTGTTGCTTATTTTTTATTGTATATTGTTTGTGTATTTTTATTTTATTTTTATTTTTTATCTTGAATTTTGTTAAGCACTTTGGTCAATCATGGTTGTTCTTAAACGTGCTATATAAATAAACTTGAACTGAACTGACATGTTTCTTATCTACAGCAAGAATTTAGGAGTCATTAATCGAATAATCTGACACAGTGACTACCCAGCATAAAGGACATAACAGGTGCCTATGCACCTTCTGCACTTTAACCCCTAATGAGTCGCAACACTGCATGAGATATTGTTTTCATAGTTTCTAAGTTTTATCTTAATGCACTGGTCGATTTTTACATTTGTTTCAAGTGTAAACAAGTGAAAAAATCTGCTAGCGCAGAAAGACAAAACAAAACAATAGACCAGATGCAATCTATGAAAACAAGTCTTAATATCCCAAGTAAAATTATGAAATCCAAGATGATTGATGATCATAAAGGATAAGGAATGCATTATGGATAAAAAAATACTTAATAAATGTTAAAGAATTAATTAGCAATACCTACATCGCCCAAAGTACTTTATCATAGAAAAAAAATCTACATTTTGGCCACTAGGGTGACAAAACACTGGACCAACAGTCAGATTCTACCAAATTTGGTTAACATCACAAAAATATCTTAATTTACATGTTGTAACAGACAAGAAAAAAAAATCATAAGGCCAATTCACACTGAACAGATACACGGTGACAGAAACTGGCTTCAGTCAGAGGTTGTTTTCATCGACTGAACATGCAGAATCGGCCCTTGTCAGGTCGTGGAATGTCACGTGGATTAAAGTAACGTACTGATTGTTCATGTTTGTTGGCATCTGCCAGTGCTATTTGTCGATTCTTCTCTTGAATGAGTCTTACAAGAATTACAAAACACTCCAAAGCACAAAGACAATCTTGAAGAGTAATGTAGAACTCAATATTAAGACAGTTCAAGTGCAGGAGAATCATATCTGTTTGACTGAGTTCACTCAGACGTTCAAGATGGAAGACTAGGGGTGTTGAAATTAATTGCTGCATCGCGATGCGGACTTGGACAATTCTGCACTGAAGCAGTAATAGACCATAATCGATTATAGCCTACCGATGTTTCCCTGACATCATTAGTCACATATAGGGCTGCAACAAACGATTATTTTGATAATCG